AAAAAAAAAAAAAAAAATCTGATGAGGCCAGTCCTGTGCCATGCTGTTGGATTCCAGCCTCCAATTATGAGCTACATAGACCTTTTCTCTTTATAAAGAAAATTGACACTGGGAGTGGGACATTATTACTATACCTGTAGATGTGGAGGAGCCTTTGGAATTGGTTAACTGGAAGAGGTTGGAAGAGTTTGGAGAAGCAGGTCAGAGCAAGCCTGGAATGCTATAAGGGCTCAGAAGACCCGAATTCAAATTCAGATGTGGAGAATAATAAAGTCCATGCTGGTGAAGGTTCAGATGGAAATGAGGATTCTCTTGGGAACTGGAGTAAAGACCACTGCTGATAAATGGTGGCAAACAATTTGGCTTCCTCATGTCCTAGTCCTGAGACTTTGTGGAAGGCTGAACTTAAAAGTGATGGACTAAGTTATCTGGCAGAGGAGATTTCAAAGCAGCAAAGCCTTCAGGCTGCTGTATGGCTGTTTTTGGCTTATAGTCAAGTGAGAGAGCAAAGGTATGCTTGAAGAAAGAATTTACAATTAAAAGGAAAGCAGACAGGAAAGGTTTTGGAAAATTTTTGGCTTGGCCAGGAAGGGAGCAGAAAAGAATGTCACCAAGGGGGTTCCACAGAGCAGCTGTTTGCCAAGGAGATTAGATCAGATAAAAGAAGCCAAGTGTGTTGCCTCAGGACCTTAGGAAAGATGCCTTGAGGGCATTTCAGAAATCTTTCAGGGCAGAATTGTTTCAACAAAGAGCTTCAAGGCTGGCTGGGAAGTTGGGCTTGCTGGCAAAGCACTCTGGGGCTGCAGCCATGGTTCAAAGGGATGCAGATGCAGCCCAGGCAGGTAGCAGACCTTGGCATCATTTGTATGATGCTATTTTTACAGGTGGGCAGAATTTCAGGAATGAATAAGGACTAGGAGTAGAATGCTATGGTTTGAATATGGTTTGTTCCCCAAACTCATACAGGAGTTTAATCCCCAAAGTCTATGTTATCAGCATTAATAAGGTTAGAAATTTAATCTGACTAGGGTACTAGAGATAGAGCTTATGGGAAGAGATTAGATTATGTTATTAGGATAGTCTCCAAGATTGATTCCTTCTGGAGAGGAAGAGAGACACATTCATATAGTGATACATATCTGATGTTGCCAGAAACTGTGCCATGCTGTGTGGACTTCTAGAGTCCAAAATTGTTCTAAATTTTCTTTTTTTTCTCTTTGTCAAATAGCCTGTTTCAGGTATTTGGTTATAACAAAAATAACTAATACATATAGTATGGAGAGACAATCAAGTAAATAGACTGTTTATGTGCCTCAGTTTCTTCATCTGTGACTCTGAAGACATTACCTATACCTCACAGGGTCATTTTATAGATTAAATGAAATAACATATAAAATACTTAGTATAGTTTGGCAGATATGAATTCAATAAATGTAATTGTGAACGTGGACCTTGTTCTGGTGCCATGGGAAAAGACTGAAGACGTAATTTTGAGGAGGAGGAGGAGGAATAATCTTGAAAGTAATTTTTTTTTAAAGAGAGAGAATTTTTTAATATTTATTTTTTAGTTGTTGGTGACACAACATCTTTATTTATTTATTTATTTTTATATGGTGCTGAGATGCCAGGCGAGCGTGCTACCGCTTCAGCCACATGCCCAGCCCTTAAAAAGTAATCTTGGTATTAATGTTACAGAGGTAAATATTTTCCTCTCAAAATTACTGAAACCAAGATGGGTACAGTGGTATGCACCTGTCTTCCCAGTTACTTAGGAGGCAGAGGGAGGAGGATTATTTGAGGCCAGCCTGGACAACATAGCAAGATGCCATCTCAAAACACGAAAAACAAAACACAAAGTGGAACCAAAATAGCCAGTGTTAAAAAGTAAATCATAAGAGAACCTATGTCACTTCTAAGTGCCCTCAAAATATACCATGGAAGACAGACTGTTTTACAATTTGACCGCAAGCTGTGAGGGTTTTTTCCTTTGTAATGCAAGTTGATGATAATGTTTCCTTTGGAAAGTTATCCAACACCTTCAACTTTCCTTTTACTTCCCAGTTTGCTCATTATACAAGTATAAGACAAAGACCTGATGGACTGTTCACACAGATGACTATTAAACACAAATGCCTAGACATAGGTGTAAAATTTCCTGAGTCAATCTTTTAAAATAAGATGGTAGAATATCTTGATTTTATTATAATTTTAAGTATGAAAGTGCTTTTCTCTTCCTAATTTATTTATTTATTTTTGGAGGTGCTGGGGATTGAAACCAGGGCCTTGTGCATGCAAGGCAAGCACTCTACCAACTGAGCCATATCCCCAACCCCCTCCCTAATTTTAAACCAATGTAAAGTTTTAAGTTTATATATTGTATTTAAAATTTACCTATATTTAGAATAGCTGAGCAGACATTCATTTAAAATGCATTAGATTTAAAATAATTACAAATACATACCTATATATACAGATGGTATGTAAAACATCATTTGCTACTCTAAAGTGAAACTCCAATTGCTATTGTTATGTTTGTTTTTGGAGATTAAAAACTCAGGGCCTTGTGTATGCTAGGCAAGTGCTCTACTACTGATATATATATATATATATATACACCCTAGCCCCTCAGTGGCTTTTTTAAAAATAATTTTCTTTATGTATATATAAGGATTACATAAAATGAGACATACATAGATAGTAAAATGATTACTATAGTGAAGCAGATTAAAATATCTATCATCTCTGTTACTTTTATTTTTTTTCATACTAGATATTTTATTTGGGATACCAGAGTAAGTGTTCTCCCACATAATACATTTTTTTCCATTTTTCTTTTACTGGCTCTTCTTTTTTAAAATTCATTTTAGTTATATATAACACAAGGATACACCCTGACATCATCACAAGAGCATGTGTGACAAAAACAGCTAAACTCTTAGTTAATAAAAATCCCTTGAATACTTCAATTTTAAGTTCAGGGCTCATGTTGTACATTAGGACTCTAGACCTGTCCATGACAACCACTGTTTCCTTCTCTGTGTTTTTGAGCATTTTTTTTAATATTTATTTTTTAGTTGTAGTTGGATACAATACATTTATGTTACTTATTTATTTATATGTGGTGCTGAGGATTGAACCCAGGCCTCACACGTGCTAGGCGAGGGCTCTACCATTGAGCCACAACCCCAGCCCCGTTTTTGAGCCCTTTAAAAACACACATAATCCACATGTAAGGTAATGCAATGTGCTTTTTGTGTCTGGCTTATTTACTTAGCATAATATCCTCCACATTCAACTATGCATAGGCAGGATCTTATTTTTAAGGCTATTTAAGCAGACTGCAACTGGTCTCCATGACTTCAGTCTACTTGTCATCAAATCCATTCTCCACATTATAAAGATCATACTAAATACTTCCAGGTGTGGCATCTTCCACAATCTCACCCTTATCTCTCTCTCCTCCTTTACTTCATAGCTTATTTTTGCTTGTATTTTATATCCTAGTAATACTAAACTGCTTGTAGTTCCTTTCTCTCTTCTGCTACCATATTTATGCCTGTGCTTTTGTTCTTACTGGATTTCAACTCTATAACTCCACCTCATCTTTTAAGATTCCACTCAAATGTGATTTCTTCCAGAAAGCTTCCAATTTCCATCTTTGTTGCATCTAGACAAATTAGGCGTTCATCATGTGTTTCCATGACACTGGGTGCATACCACCACTACTTCACTTTCACTTTCAGGATTACTTTGATTCGCATGTAAGTAGAAAGTTTAAGTTATTTTGCTTTTTACATTTAAAAACATGAAAGCATCCTGATGCTAAGCAGGACAGGGAAATTGAAGAAAAACCAATCATATCTTATAGATATTTCCTTATTGCCTCAGGTCAGGGCAAATAATAAAAGGCTAAATGTGAATAATAAAAACCACAACAGGAGAAATCTTTTCAGAGGATGCCCAGACCCAGACCCAGGGCCAGGATCAGAGGCATTCAAATGAGGCATTTAGGGTTTAACAGGTAGGAAGACACCTGCCCCTAAATTTGGGGCTGTCTTCCTTTTTCTCATCTTAGTCCTGGTCTGGCTTTGAAAACCCATTTAAAAATAAGAACTGAAACAAACCCAGGGCATTTATTTCTAACTTGTGCTTGTGCAAAAATAACTCTGGAAATAAAATCACTTGGACAGGTGTAAACAGGGTAGGAGGGACAGAGAGCAAACCACGAAGTGATGGTTTTCATGGTGGGATGAAGGGCTGGGAAGCATGAGGACTCACCTCTGGCATGGAGCTCACTTCATGCACCTGGCCGATGAGTTTACAGTAGGATTGAAAAAGCAACAGCAGCTGGAAGTGTAGCTTATATAATCTCTGACATAGTTCCAGTTGCTAAAGAGAGAATGTGCATGGGAAGAAATAATTATTAAGGATCATTATTGTATTAACCAGTGAAATCTCAGTGGAGATGAACACATTTTTTAAATTTACAAAACATAACTAGCTGTTATACCAAATAGCAGAAAACAGAATCCAGTTCACAAACATCAATGAGAAATTCACAGTATAATATTGAATATTACATTCTATACAATGGAAGACGACTAACTAGAGAGTTGTAGTAGCTATAAAAGGACTGAGTGAATCACCACATTTCCCTTGCCACTTAAATACCTACAAATTATAGCTGAGTGGTTGTGTTAATTATTATAAGGTATAAGTAGTTTTTAAAGTTTCTTTTTATCAAAAGTATAGTTGAAAAGCAAACATTAAGTAGTTATAGGTGTTAAATCTATAAATTGAATCCCTTCTTGGGAAATTGCTCTGTGTAATAGTTCCAGCTGTCATCTAGGGTATAGACTCATCCTAACATCTGTAAAGATAAGCTACACAAGTCTTCTCAAGTACTGTACTGTATGAGACTTCTACTCATAGCTCAATAAATGTTTGCTTAATTAAAGAGGTATAAAAGGGACCAGAAGGCTTAAGAAATAAATTATGAAAATACCTTAAAACTTTCTGTGCAGAGAACATTTAAAAGCAGTCATATAAAATGGCCCTTGAGCCCCATGGAAACCTCTAATGTTTTGATATGTATACTAGATACAAAAAAATCACAAGTAATCCCAACACCAATGTTCATAATATTCTTTGAGCTGTATCATCTACACTTTGCCTGTTTTATTTCAAGAATAGGTTAGTTCCTAGACTGAATGGAATTCTGCAAAAGGAAAAGAACAGCCTTCATTAAACAGGATTTTGTGGTTTAGCGTTCATCAGGGAAAATGGGTTAAAATATGTGGTTTAAACTAAATGGTTCACTGCTCGATTTTCAAATGGGGCTAAGGAAGGACAAATAGAGCCTTTCTTTTACTAATAGATTATAAACCACTCGGCTCAGAATTGAGAGCTTTGAGGTGACTTAAAATTTTTCCTCCAAACCAGTTTAAGGAGAGAAATTATAAGAATTTAGGTTTTAGGAAGAATATTCTACTTCTATTTTGAAAAGACTTTTGATCCTGATTTATAAGTTACTGAAATTCATGCTAAGCCTGCTGAATTAAGTTTCCTTTCTCCTCCTATCCCTTTCCTGCTTCTATTGGAAAACCAATTTTGCTTAGATTTATTTGATCTCTCAGTATTAGTAACCCACCTAAATTTAAAGAAGTAGCTACACACACTAATTAACCTACACCGGGTCTTTGTTTCAGTAAAACATTTTATTTTATGGTCATTTAAACTTCTTTTTACGGAAATCTTTTAAAATCTAGAATGAAAGATAACTGCCAGGAACTCGCAAATAAATAAAATAGTATTGTTTAAAAACAATGTTCCCATCACAATTTTGGGTGAAACCTAGCTATGAAAACTCTTGACTTTCATCAGTACCAAATAAGGTAGTTATTATTGAAAATATACTACCGACAGTATGAGAATTCATAGCAATGTAGGTTTCTACTTTGGGGCAAGAGCAGCCCAAAATGCTACTGATAAAAACTGCCATATTTCAATTTATCAAATAAAATAAAATAAAATAAAATGAAAAAGGGTAACATGCTAAGAGATTATAATAGTAACTGTAAAAATAAGGTTTGTTATGGGTCCATGCCTAAATGGACATAGAGTATGAAAGAAAGTTAACTTACTGCAAGAGATTCCATTTGCTACACAGCAAGCATGGCACAGGAAACAAAGGAAAGGAAAGAAAGTACAGGGTCAGTGTATGCATGCAACAGAAAGCACGGCCCTCGTCTAAGAGCAGAACTGTCAGCAGTATTAGCATTGCTGGTCAAACTTGATAAATGGATGCCAATGTTGTACCCGTTCAACATGCACAGCGCTCCCGTTAAAAACAAGCTTTAATGGGAAACAGGACATTTAATCTTTTAGGTTCTCTGATTAGTTGGTTTAGATTTTGTCAAGTCAGTCTTGGAGACCAGAAGTAAAATGTTTACTGCTTGCACATTTTAGTGTATAAATGTAAATATGTGAACATAGTAAAACTGTGGAGAGAGCTGGGTAATTTTGAAGAACTATAGTCCCAAATTATAGTACTGTTTTATATTAATTAAGGTAGTCTTTAGAAGGTCTAGTTTCATATCTACTAAATTATGACCATAAAATTAACATAGTATAATTAACAATTCAAGTGGCATTTTCTTTAGTCAGATTGCCTTCCACATTAAGAGTATTTTATAGGATTGCTAAGTACTGTTATTTCAAAGGAATAGACACTGTATATTATCAAACAAGTTTGAGAGATGACAAGTAATTTTCCTACAATTTATTTTTCGTAATGTTTTTTCTCTAGTAGACAATTTCTAAAAATGATTGTTAGTTTAAAATAATACAAATTTGTCACTGAGTCATCTTCAAATATGGCTACCAAATTTTGATTTTACCTTATCATAACCATACAATTGGTTTAGTGAAAATTTGGTATTTAGGAAGAGATAATCATAACTTGACAAAATATTTTTTAAAAAGTCAATTTGACTATTCCTAGTTGTGGGACAATATATCTGATTCTGAATTTTCAAATACCTAAGGACCTACTCACTCATTCATTTTCCAATCCTTGACAACAAAAACCTCTTATTTTGAGGTTCTTCAAAAAATCTCTGAACTATCACTTTAATATATTAACATAAGGCACAGTACATAGAAGTAAAATTATCAAATTATTATTTATTAGTATTCACCAATGTAACTGAAGGAACACTACTGATAACCTCTACCCCATCATCTGGGTTCTCTTTTTCCTTCACCTATTGCTAATATCACACGGAGTTGGCACATTTATGGCTGTTAGGTTTATTGAGCAGTTTTTTGGACACTGGATGTGGATCTCTCTCAAAGCTTTGAAAGGTAAACACCTTTAAAGCTTGTGATAAGGATTCTGTGGCTTGAGGCATTACCTACCATTTTCACAAAAACTTTGTCTAGAGGTTTCTGTAACCACACCTTATGTATTAAAGCACAGTGTCCTATCAGGCATACAGGGCCAGTCTTATACCTATATATACACATAATTTCCACTGTGAAGACTTTTTGGAACACATCAAATATGACTGAAATGTTTGGTATGCATGTTAAAAAGCAAGTGTTTCTACCCTGGAATCTACAGTGTGGAATGCAGTGTGGAATGCAGCATTGCTGAGTAAATGACACGGTCTTGAGGAAAGCTGCCATCTTTTTCAAAACAGGGTCGTAATCCGAGGAGGTCAGCAAATGGGTTTAAATCAAATCCTCTCTGTTCAATAAAGGCAAAGGAACTTTCTGAACTCTAGCTAGGTGCTGAGGAATGTCTTTTGGCTCTCAGGGCACAAAATAGTCTATTTCTTGGGAGATGGCCAACTCTGACGAACACATTTTCAGTATCCTTCCTAAGCTTTCCTTTTTAGGTAGGCTAGTTCAAGCTTCCTTGATACTTTTGGTCTTAGAATCCTTTCCTGGGCCACAGCCTGGGACCTCATTTGAATTTACGTCCCCAAAACATAGTGAAAATGACATTGTGAAGGGGCTTTTTCATGGAAAATGTTGACATGTTTTTAACTCTGTGTTACTGCTTTCCTGTATGTGGGTTTTAAGAATAATCCCTGTAGAAGTCTTTATAAACTTCATCTGTTCCAGTGACCTAATGTTTTTTTGAGCATATTGTGGGTATGTCATTGTTTTATGTGGTCACAGGAATCCTCTTCAAGTTCTGTTCCTGGTTTCCTGATAAGACTTGATATATAAAATCAGATTTGGAGGTATAGCTTCTTAAAATGAGAAAAAAACAAACAAAAACCCCAAGAAGGAGATCCTCATCATTATATAAAATACATGTATGAAGATGTGAATTTGGTGTCAATATACTGTATATACAATCAGAGATACGATAAATTGTGGTATAAAGGTGTATTAAGAATTGTAATGCAAAAAAAAAAAAAAGGAACAGATCACAAACAACTGAAAGGGCAACTTCAAAAGCCCATCATAATCTAATTCTTGCTGACTACCAAGTAGTAGAACTACATCTGTTTCTGTCCCCAGATGGGTTCTATGCTTATAACTAGTCAGTAAAAATCTAGGAGATTTTTTTTGACAGTGTACTATATTGGCTATTATTTTCATCATATTTAATTTCTGAAAATTATGAGTTTATACTAAATGTAATAAAATTTAGATTCCAGATAGGAGGTAACCTTGCCTAATGCTGCAGCTTTGCTAGTCAGGGAACACAGGGGCATCTGATATCCTAAACAGGTAGGAAAAATATACACTCACTTGTTAATAACACTCAGGTTTGGCACATCGACAACTATCGTGTTTGTGGAGTCGTTTTTTTTTTTTACTTTAGTCATGAGTATATTTCAAAGCTTAGAAAGATAAGACACATTTAGGTATTTTCTGTTTTCAAGAAAACTGTAAACTAACTTCAGCCATTACAGGAAAGAGTATTGCTTATAGGAGGAGGAGTGATTGACAATATCTGAAGGGTGAAGTTTAATGGATTACAACTGACCTTGAGAAAAATCTTGTTTGACATTTAACTTGTATAAGAACACAGGATGCATTCATGAGTTATGAAGAGATAGGGTCTTTCTGGACACCAACTTCAATTCTGTTTGCTTCCTAATAGTTGGAATGATGATTTGAATATGGTAAGATGAAATGTAGTAGGGTCAAATGTAAATTATCAAATGTTCAAATAGTGTTCAGAAATATCTTTTGCATTGTGAATGTGTCAACTAAAAATCCCTTTAATAAGTGAAGTAGAAACATCTCCACCTTTCCTGGGGCTGCTTTTGCAAAGCTGAGGACATGAGCTGTGTTAATTAGTTACAGGGCCAAGACTAAAGCCACTGCCTGGGGAAGCCAGAGCTGTCAAGAGACTTTGTTCCCTGACTTACGTTTATATTAACTCAAACAACCTAGTAGTAGCTACTCCAGAATAAATTCTACAAGAGGTCCATGAAAATCAAAGTTATTAATTAATTAAAAGTGCTGGTTTTAAGTTGTGAAAAGACTTTTTTTTCTCCTCTTGCTATGCACAGACTGAGAAAATATGAGTAAGGCAGTGTCCACAAGCGAGTGAAATTTATCTTGTGAGACACATGCACATCACACTCCCTGTTTTATGTCCTCTCTAGTGGAAACTGTGCTTTATCCTAGGAGAGTTGGTATCATAATCCCAAAGAAGCTGAAGTCATTATTAATCATGTTTGCCTAAAAAAAAAAAAAAAGGCCATATGCTGCATAGTGACATTTAGGTGAGTGAAAGAACACACAAATGTTGGTGGTTCCATAATATTATATCACTGAGGGTGACTTATCCTCCTTTTTGTGTAAATAAACTGTGATATTGCCATGATGATATCACCTAATGATGCATTTCTCAGAACATTGCTCATTGTTAAATGATAAATGACTGTAGAAGTAAATAAAGAGGTAGATGATGAGGAATAAAATAGGAAGAATAATTGAAAACAAAAGAAATCTTTGATCAAGACAGGCAAAGAACTAAGTGGGGAAATGAGAAGCTTCTAAAAATAAAATAGCTTAACAGAAATAAATTAAGCACAGTAGGAATACATTTTTTTTTTAAAAAAGAGAATATTTTAGAAGTAGGATAGTTTAACTAGAATTTTTGGTTATCCACAGGGCTAACCAGAAAGCTGTACACACTTGTATTAAGTATATCACAATATACTTTGCTATTTTTTTTTGTAACAGTGAATATAATAGGATTTAATGATTGATGGTAAATGTTTAGATAACTTATTTTTACATATAACTTTACAAATCATACTATAAACTATACTAGGTTTGTGCTAATTGCAAATCTAACCAGGTAACTAGTCTCTGGACTGAATTTGTCTCTGAACACCTGAGCGGGGAAGCAATTATAGAATCAGAAGGAATGGGTGCTACTGAAACAGAGGTATTATTTTATTTTTATAGTACTGCTGGGATATCCAGTGAAAACTGGTCTCAAATTATCTGAGGCCAAGGACTGATGGAAACACTAGTCTTCATTGTGATTTTGAACTGTACATTCGACTACACACCCTTTATGAGAAACTTTCAAGCTTTAGATTTTCCACATACAAAACTGGCATTCGCTTCCCATCCAAAGAGGATCAAATTTTAAAAAGCCCACAAAAAATAAAATCTATATTTACATATCTCTACACATACATACACGTTTTCAAGGAGGCAGAAATGATACTTCAGTATCATATCTAGATATTTCTTAGCCTTGTAGTTTGCTTGTTCAATCTCTAGTCTCTTCATGAGATGTACTGAGGGGCTCACCAAGTGACCCAGTGCTGGCAAAGAGAGTTACTCTCAGAACCATAAACTTGTTCAGTAAAAGTTATCAAATTGGAATTGAGTCTTTGGTATCTGAAAAATTTTATCCCAAGCTTTATCTGTTTCTTTTTACATTAGTAAAGTATTAGTTCTACCCAGGAAGATATTTTTGGATCCTTTGGAGGGTTTGTAATCTAAAATGCTTTCCCAGTAGTGATAATGTAATTCCACTTGCTTCTTTGAGACTAGGCAGCAGGAGGATTGACCTGACCACTTCAGTCTGTTTCCACAGTAAATAGAGCAGGATAGCCACGGTCGAATTATCCTCTGCTATTAAAACTTTCCGATTGCTTACCACTGCTGTGCAACACCCAAGCCCTGCATGATCTGGCTTCTCCAGACTCTTCTCAAGCTCTGCTCCAGGTCGCTTTCTGCATTTGTTCTTAGCGAGGCCATGTTCACTCATGTCTCAGGCCACTCAGCTAACTCTTGCTCATGTTTTAGATCTCTACCTAGATAATACACCAGGGAGAATCCTCCTTGAACTTTTCTCTCATTTGATCAGGCTGCCTCACGGTGTGCTCTCAGAATTTACTGTTCTTTCCTGTACTTATTGGTCTTATCACATTTACACCTCTGATTTTTTTTTTTATTAATGCCGAAGATCTCTGATGACAAAGGTCTTATGTATTGCTCACTATTTAGCCACCATGAGGACAAAATAGGAGGCACTTAATAACTGCAGGATGGGTGATTTTAATCCATTCATACTCTTCTATCCATTGCCTTTACAATATATTTCCAGCCAGCTGATTTGAGGTATGTCCTTAAAGGTATTCTAAACTGGAAAATCTGTTTTGGAGTGATTGGTGAAAGGGCAATAGAAATTTTTCTCACTGAAGAAACTAAGTGGTTTTCTATTCTGAATTAAGAACAGATTTATTAGGAAATGATTAGTATGGTTACACAGTGTTCAGCAAAAAAGGTTATTTTTATACCTCTATTTTTCCCAAACAAGAGGAAAAAAAAACCCCCCAAACCCCCAAATCCCATCAACACACAATCATGCATGACTTGAATGTCATTCTGTTGTAATCTATGGGTTTCGTGGGAATATATGAGAATTCATTATGCCTCTTCTTTTCTCAAGTTCCATGCTTCTTAGATAAATCAAAACCAATGCACAATGTCAGACCACAGAGGAGATACATTCTAATAGGCTCTTATTACCTTTTCTTCTGAGTCCCCTGGTTGACAGGTAATCACTCCATCTCTTGATCCGCCTGCAAATGTTGCCTTACAATTTGCAAGCCACTGTCATTAGAAAAAGACAGACATAAGTGAATTTCTTGGGAAATAAGGGGGGGTGAAAAGTGAAAGCTCAACATTTTCTGTCCTATGGGTTCCATTTATATAATTAATGTTATTAGCAGTTCTATAACCATTACATTAGGATTGTAATCTCAAAGAGAGGAAAAGATTAAATTTGTCTCCTCCCTCTGGATTCTATCTTGGATTATTCACACCTCCCAAGAACTCGGAGGTTGGGTTCATTTGGTTTTACCTGAATGCATATACACAAAAAACACAAAAACTTACTGAGAGAGTGGCCTCTTTTCTGTTGTTATAGGTGTCCAAATATTCTTGCAGTTCTAAAACACTGAACTTGAGCTTGTCTAGAAGTCCACAAGAAAGGAGCTAAAGGTAGGGAAATAATTTGTATTAAAACATCTAGGGAGATGAGTTACCAACACAAAGTCATGGCTATACAGAGAAGACATATTTAGAAGTAATATAAAGAGGGAGAGCAGTACCATCCATTTTAATAAGGTGTGAAATTTATAATTTTGCTCTGTTATCATCCCAATAATACATCACATGGTTTAAAGACTTTCACATTCATTTTGTATTTAAAATAATAGTGATTTATCATATTATATTCCTTGCTAGGAGGCAGCCAACCATCAGTGAGGTTCTTAGACTGAGTCTGCACAGACTTTAAAAAAAAATCAAGGAACATTTTCATTAATTTCAAACCTCAGAAGTCATTCACCTTATGTGATGGTTCTGTGATATGATGGGAGATGTGAACTTGTTAGTCTTATGTTAGTTATATTCAGAAAGTCATTATTCAGCAGGCAGCTGAATCTCTGGCTAGAGATTGTCTTAATCCTTCTTTAAACTTGTCATTTGTGGTTTGGGCTGTGTGGATCCAGAGGGTGATGTGTGTGAGGCTTGGGGATGGAGAAAGTGATGATGGTTTGTCTCTAAAGACCATCTGATTGGTCAACCTGGTCAGGTCAGCTCTGGAGGTTATCCAGCCATATGCACAGTTGGCAGAGTCAACAGGGAGAGGTGTCAAGGTCATGGAAGGAGCACAGTTGTATGTTTTCTCCTGATTCTCTGAAATGATTTTGTCTCAGCCTGGGCTACCCCACAGATCCAAAGCCCTTTGGAAGTCACATCACAGTACTGCTCACAACACTGAAGGTCTTTAAAACAAACCACTACACAAACATTCTTCCCTGAGCCAAGCAGGCCTTTCACTACCAGAGCAGGGCTGGGATACTCACGGTCTCGGCATCCACGAAAAGCGTGGGGCACTCAGAGCAGGAGGTGAGCATCTGGGAAGAGCTGACAAATTTGGATCCAATTCCCCGGAGGTTGTCTCCAAGGTAGCTGGCTGCATCACAGGTTAGGAAGCAGAATCGTTTCTGAATATTCTGCAAGGGAGGATAGTGATCATTTGCAAAGGCCATTTTGACTTAGGACTAGAAAAAAATTTATTTGCATGGGATAGGATTTCTAAAATTTTATTATTGATTTAATTGGCAAAGAAAAATATGCATTGTATATAAGACGTTTTGAAATATACATTGTATAGTGGCTAATCTTGTGTAATTAACATGCATTACCTCACTTTTTTTTTTTTTTTTGCTGAGAACACTTAAAATCCACTGTCTTAGCAATAGAAAAAAATTTTAAAAATCTTGAGATTGTTGTAAAAAGAGCATATGTCCTCAGGGAAGGGAGTAGAGTAAGTAGGATGGGGTTGGCAGAAGGTCTCCTTATTGGTTCTGATGTCATATTTGCCTAAGATTGAGGATGTCAATAAGTCAGAGTGACTTTCATGGCAACTGAAATCATCTGAGGTCACTGTCTTCATAATACCACTCTGGGGTTGAGCAGGTTGAGGCTGCATAGGAGAGCTGTTAACTAGAAGTTAAGTGTATCTAGAGGAAAAATAGGACAATCCTAGAACAAAACAACCCTTTTATAAATCAGAAGTTATCTGGCTCCCTGGAGGACCTTGGTTCTCGGAAGGTTGAGGGAGCACGCCTACCTTAAACAGAGAGGAGAACACGTGAAATGTATACACTGCACAGGAGCCATCTGAGTCACACATAAGCTGGTTGATGTGGCTGCGCCAGGCTTCCTCAGCATCATCACAGGCTGTGGGCTGAAAGGCAGCAAGGATGGCCGAGAAGAAAGGCGAGGGAGGGGGAGAAACTCCCCTGTCACCTTCTCCAAAGCTGGAAAACATGAAAACATCCATGTCAAGAAGTGTTGTCCTCCTGCTTCTCCTCTACCTGACTATTCCAACTCTAATCCAAGTGTTGTGATGTGGAGGAAGCCTGTTTGGCCCACTCTTCCCTTTGAGGGTACTCTGGGACATCCTGGCTGCCATGAGAGATCTCCAAGATCCTTTTCTGATTCTAGGATATAGAATTTTCACCTCTATAATTTCTAGGATTCCCCTATTTCTGATTTCTGTATACAGATTGGGTACCTCTTTTAGCTCTCAGCAAGTGTCTCACTTTCCAGGTGCTATGCCTCTGACAAAATATGCATTCAGGCTTATGCTTTGGTGCTTTCATTCTTCATGTTTTGATTATGAAAAATTATAATATAAATTTTGATGCTTTAGTTTTTCTTTATGGAAATAGAGTATTAATGAATACATAAAGCTGAGAATACAAGGACTGGGGAAGAGAGGAAATGTAGAGAAATGCAGAGTAAGAGAACCAGGAAGGAAGAGAGATAGGTAAAAAGAGTGAAAAGTAAATTCTCCAGATAAGACCTCAACCTTTTCCTTTGATGGGCAAATATTGCTCACCATGACACAAGGCCCTACTTAGTTCTCACTTTCAATTCTGAGTAATTTTAGGGTCTTGATTTTCTTATCCTGAAGCACATCTATACCATTATTATCCGTGATTCCCCCTAAATGATGATTTTATCTAAACTATTGTGTTTTATTAATTCTTCTTCATTTTTTTCCTATTCATATATCTCATTAGTTTCAGAGATATCAGCCACTAGGCTGAAAGACACCTTCTTGAAAAAGCGTTGCTATTTAGCATATAAAGATCCCCCTGTTCTTGTCATTTAACTCAGAATGGAAAGAACTCATTCCCAAGCCTTGCCAAATTTTGCTTATCTTCAAAGCTTATAAGGCTTGGACCATGTCTCCAGGCCTTTCTTCATCTTTCCATGTTGCTTTCTGGCTTTATAAGTTCTTATGCAGGTGTCCTTTCTTTGTTCTGCATAAGTCCTTGCACTGGGGTTGGATGATTCTACCTTGGTAAGAGCTCACTAAGTTCTGTGTCACTGTGGACTCCTTCATTAGGAGGCCCCAGCAGTGTGAGTGTAGCACTGAACTCAAGTTACTGTGAGCGTAATACACTGTGCTGTATATATTTGTACCACTCATTTCCACCAAGCGCTTCCTTACCTTGCAAGAGTAAACTGGTTGCCTTTTTCCTCTCCCTCAGTCATATCCAGACTGAAGCTGTCACTGCATTCGAAAGCCGCGGGCAGCTCATTAATGGAACTTGAAAGATCATCCTCATGCACAGTGGTATCTTCCTCCTCCTGCACAGCATCAGCCTGTGGGATTATAGGGTCAATTGATAGAAGTGGATTCAGAAATTCTCTGAAGTACTCTTTGTTCACTCTCTTTTCAGTCCCTTCCACAATAGCCCCCAGAGGGCTTTCAGTAGATTCTCATACTTGATCCATGCTTACAAAGTATAAATGCTGAATTTGGAAAAGACTATAGAGATCCCTGGTCCAACCTCCACATTTTACAGATGAGGAAATGATGTTCCATATGGGCTTGTCTAATGTCAGGTCAATAGAGTTAGAGCTGGGAATAGAAACATCGCTTTGGATTTAGGACTCCTCCTATTGTGCCATCCCAGCCTTTTGAAGTAGGTTCATCTAGACTTAATTCTCCAATACGGAATCCTTTTGTCTGTGGACACTAGAATTAAGAATCATTGGTTCCTGGGACAGTAGATGCTTAAGAAACATCTGCAGTATGCATGAGTAATGCAAAGTCCTTCACCAAGCCTGCTTGGTTGATAGGCTTTTCCATATTGAAAATTTTCTAAAATCCATTTGCATATATGCTTTACTCTTGAGTACCCTTGAAAACAGCAGATCGGGTTGTCTGTTCTCACCTTACTACAACATGTGAAATGAGCAGTTAACTGTAAAGGCTCTAGGGTGGGTGGCAGTGAGAGGCAGGAAAGAGACACAACAAGGAAATGGAAAAATAGCTGGGCTTGAACTTGGGCCAGGGGACAATCAGCTAGAGAACTGATTGTTTCTTGACCGGAAGGAAGGCAGCTGGATCACACATCAGAACAGAAGAAGAAAATTCTTGTACATGTTTCACTGAGTCATTTTCAAGGTGAAATAGAAACGTATATGAATCAGAGCTTTATTGCAGGTTAACACCTGGCTGCCCATTTAGTATATAGTATGAAGAATTAATAGGGAAATTAACAACAATGTAAAGCTATATTAGAGAAACAAGAGTTTCAGAGGTTTATCTGTACCTGCTTCTTTTTGCTTTTGAAAACTATGGTGATCCAAAGAAGTTGGCCTCTGGAGTTATTACTACACATAAATTTCATCTATTGGAGAAACTGAGTTCTTATAAAATGTATTTATTTACTCTTTCTAACATGACAGGCATATCAAACACCACAGGAACTCAGCTCATGAGAAAATAAGGATAGCTCTTTGCAAATGAGACTTATCTTTCCTTGATAGAAAATACTTCCTAAACAGTAGAAATCATCTATGAGAAGCCTGTGTAGCCTTCAAAATAGAAAAACAGAAAATGAGAATACCAATACGGACAAATATCACATGCTCTTAACTTTATATATATTTTGTAGTTTTTATCCCAATGAAATTGAATTTCTTAATTTGAGGATTCTGGCATTTTAGCCTAGAACAAAGTTTTCTTTCAGGGCCTTTTTGGACAAAACAAAAAAGGGACCCTTAACTCCAAGAATCCTGACCACAGTCCCTCTGAAGTGTGGCAGTCTTAGAAATAATTCTTAGTTAAGCTTCAGCATTTTTAAGTAACTGCACTTTGGTGGTTGTTCTTAAAGCATACTTCCCCCCTGCCTTGGCCTCAGCTCTGTTTTTAGTAATTATGAAACAATATATAGAATAGCCAATACTGTATTTTTCCATTAGAGGTATCAGAAGGAATCTACTTTTACAGTTTTTTCTGTTTTCTTTTTCAAATTTACATTATCATAACCAAACTCTAGATAAAGAAAGCTTTATTTTATCCTCACAGCAATAGATTATTTTGCTATTTCTAATATAAGGAAATAAGATTCCATACTGATGGGCATAAATGTGGGTACTGCATGCAAGTGGATAGTTTTATGGAAATTTTGATAAACCTTAAATAGAACTACACACAAATATATTTTTTTAAAACCCCAAATAAGGAAATCACACCCATTAGTTAACATTTCTATTTAGAGTCTGGCTAGGAGAGTTTTGTGCAAATCTGGCAAATAATAGTGTGATTGATGTTAAAAATTCCAACAGGATGCCAAAAGGGGAGCATTGAATCAATGTACAAATTGTATAATTGGTTCCTACATAAGAAAAAATTTCCTCAAATACACCCACACATCTCTTAGCATATTGCTGTATAAAAGCCATGACAAAGATTAGCAGTTTCCCAGTCACAGCCATCTGAGATGGACAGTACTGTTTTGCCCTCAATCAACAGTGTTCACTCAATGTTCCATTTTACAAAGACTTCAGAACCACTTTCTTTCAATCAGAAGATGGCTGCTCAAGTTTCTCAGCATAAAACAACTTCAAAATAAAGGCTCAGGTATATAAGCTTCAATTATTTCACTAAAATCAGATGGAAAGAGTGCTTCCACTTTCAACCCCGTCCCCCACAGGAATTCTCAGAACTTTGGGAAGTCATTATTTTCTTTTTCCCTAAGGAAAATTACAATCATAACTGCCAAAATCTCTTCACCTTTGAACCCTCAGAAATCTGCAGGTTATTCATATCAGGCAAGGAAGCATCAAAACTGGCCATTCTGGTGATAAAAGAATGAGAGTCAGCAGGAGTTGAGTCACAGGCTGTGGTGAGCAATTCCATGGGGTTGGCCTCTTCAGAGGGGGAGAGGGTCATGATCTGTTTAAAAACAAGAGGAAAGAAAATATAAAGTTTCCATTCTTTAAAAGCTCTAATTATTCCTAAGAGCATAAACCATTGGTCTCTAGTTGTTTGGTATTGATTTTCTAATTTCCTTATGTCACCATGACCTAACTAGTAATCTAGTGTTAATCTGCATCCTGGGGTGTCCCACTAAAACACCAATTCCTGTATTGGTAGATAACTTCATCAAAAAGCCTGTCCTATTTCCTCAAACTTTATATATTTGAGGATTAAAAAAAAAGATTACCATCATCAAAATTATTTGGGAAAAATATAGGCCTTCAGATTGGATGGCTTTCTGGGTACATAACACACCCCAGCAGTTGCTTCCTTCTGCCTACTACAGAGAAGAGGCCACTTAGAATCAGATACCTCCTTGAGAGTTCAGAATTTAGTTTGGCAGCTTTGGAAAGTTTCTTTAGCTGAAACTGGGCCGGGGGCAGGGGGAAATAACCCTCTTGAATTACAAAAAATAAGTCTCTCCAGTTGCCACAGAGGGAGAGTTGCTACTCACTAGATCGGAGTGCTCCAGGATCTGGCTGGCTGTGAGGTCCTCCTCCTCAGATGATTCATCGGAATCCTCATGGTTCATTTTATTTAGACTGGGAGGGCTTCCTGAGAGTTGGCGTTCTTCCAGGGTCTGCATGTCACACTTGTCCAGACTGTCCAGAGAACGCCTGCGCACTCCCCAGTTGAAATTGTCCATACTCTCACCCTGAAATCACACCACCAGCCAGGTTTTTATGCAAAAATTCTTCTTCACTCACACCTTCACACATCCAATTAGTCACATTACCTCTCATGCCCTCATCTGCTTGGGTACTGAAACTTTAACCTGACATGAAAAGTAACAAAAGCAGACTGTTTTCATATAAATGTATATTAAATCATGGGTAGAGGTGATCACACCCTTTTCTTTAGCAGGTTAAGTAGTGTGTGTTTAAGTCGATTTCAATAAACACTAGAATTGATTTGTGTTTTCAAAAATCTGTAAGAAAGAGACTATTAAAAAAAAACTTCAAAAGAGGTGTGTGCTCTTTACTCCCACCAGCCCCTGTTTAGTACTCTTTTTGGAAGGAGAAATAAGTAGGAGCTATGCTTGCAGCACATTCCAGGAATCCTTCAGTTATTTAGTAGAAGAGCATTAGGTAAACATTCCAGCCTGTTCTGCCACAGCGGTTCTCACAGATAAAATGCAGAGTTAAGGACTTTCAGAGCTGGACAAAGTTTGATGGATCATGCACTATGCAAAGGCTAGAGCAGCAGTGGTTTATCTTTTACTTTAAGGCTCATCTCTGAATAATTGTCCCAACCTGGAAAATAGTTAATTTTGTACATCAATACCAAAGATTATGGCTGACTTTTATATTCTGATTTACTAAGAACTGGCTTAGTTGGCCACATAACTGTTTTAAAGAGAAATATTTTCCAGCCTGCAAACTAGAACATTTTTACCTAAGCAAAAAGGTAATTTAAAATAAAATCTGGCACCAAATCCTTTCATTTCTTGGTAATTTGAAACAATGCCCAATAGTCCACAGAAATAAGGTAACTTCTCTGATGGGAGCTCAGTGGACAACTTACTAATCTGAGAGATGCCAATTACTATTAAACCAGAGGAAAATGAATAAATGCAACACTAAGTTTAAGAGTCTTGTTTCTGGCTTCTACAGTTTGCCATTCTCAAGACCTCTCAGGAGATAGATGCTTAGCTTTTCTAAAGTCTGTTTTGGCTATTCTTGGTAGAAGGCAAGAATCCTAAGCACATTATTCTGGATAGGATATGGAAATTATTATCATTATTCACCCCTGTTTATGTTTATGATTGTTGTTAGTACTGTTTTGATTATAAAGAGAAAGCCAACTTAGAATGTTTTTCATGTTCTGTATCTCCTGTTTTATCTGTACAGATGTACAGATAGAGATGTACAGATCAGGCATCTCTAATTTGAAATCTGAAATGCTTCAAAATCAAAGCCTTTTTGAGTATTGTCAAGATACCCCAAGTAGAATTTTCGATACCTCATGTAAAGTATAATGGTCAAGACACAAAACCACTAAAAACAGTGTATACAATTACTTTGACTATGTGTATAAGGTATGTTTGAAACACAAATGAATTTCACATTTAGGCTTGGGTTCTATCCCCAAGATCCCTTATTGTATATGTATAAATATTTCCAAATCTCAAAAAATCTGAAATTGGAAACACTTCTTGCTCCCAAGCATTTCTGATAAGGGTACTCAATCTGTATCTGTTCACCACCGGATAATTTTTTTTCCTAGTGTAAAAGACTAACTGCTTTGTTGGGATTTTAAAATAACCGCTATAGTGAAAAAAAAATATGTAAAAGAATTTGGAAGATAAGGCAAATGCAATGTGTGAAGAAAGGAAAAAAGAAAAACAAACTATTCAAGAAGAATGTGAAAATTATTGGGAGAAATATAGAAACAAATTCACAAAACTGATTTTCTTATACCAAATGAATGATGGTTTGAATGAGATATCTTAAGCAACAATTTTTGAACGATTCCCACACTTATCCTGAGACAGTCATGAGCCTGCAGAGCAATATAGATACCCTAGGCATAGATGGCTGCTACTGCTTGGTGGCAGCTCTGGGAAGACCTGAATCCATCTGGCATGAGATGAGGGAGGGGGGGAGGGAAAACTTTTCTTGCAGGAATAAGATCTATTGTTAGAGGATGTGACAGTTCCATTAGAGGCAAAGGTACTGAATTTATTTCCCTGGAGGGGGTTGAGGAATTGAGATGGAGCAGGGTTATAGTCTAATCCCAGTTGAAGTCCATGGTGATAGGGATAGGGTATAGCTTAGAGGTAGACATGTGCTTAGAAGGTGCAAAGCCCTGAGTTCAATCCTCAACATGTGCAAAAAGTCCGTGGTGATTAAAAGTCAACCTGGTTTGCTCAGTATGGCACAGCGATATCCCTAATGGGAAAGCCATGCTCAATTCTTTCTCTCCCCTGAGGGTCAGATTTGCATTTTATGTTACAAACTTAGAAGTCAAAACAGTTTTATTGATAATGCCAGATTATCTTATATGTGAAAAAATGTAGAGGACAGCTAATTATTCTAAAGGACAACTCACATATAGTTATCAAACATATTCCATTTAGTATTTATACTGGGATAGTAAAGTATTATCATGTACATATTCTAGAAATGTTATAAATAATATTCTTTGAAATAACTTTTTCATATTGGAAACCTGTCAAATGTTTTTTTCTTTTTTGAATGCTGGAGATTAAACCCAAGGTAGAAGCTACACTCAGAGTTAAAAAAGAATTATTGTTGCAGGAAGCTTCTGCAACAATCTGATGTGACATAAACATAATGATCATAAGTCAATATGCCCAACATGATTCAGGTTTATGCCACATAATTGTTGTCTGGACATAATTATTACTGGCACCCTTTTTTATTTGGAAGAGCCCTGGTTTAGATGAAAATTTATCTAGTCACCATACAGAGATAGCTTCTAATTCTTGGCAAACAAAAACATTTCATTGGAATTATATATGGTATATTGTTGGCAACAGATTGTTGATTTTACTTTATAGTTTTCTGGGCTGCAGATAAAATCCAGGGCCTTGTGCATACTAAGTACATTTTTCACCACTTGAGCTGTTACACCCAACCCCACTTCACTTTTTTGTGTGTGTGTGGTGCTGAGGATTGAACCCAGGGCCTTGTGCATGTGAGCACTGTACTAATTAAGCTATATCCCCAGCTACCACTTCACTTTTAATAGAATAATTTTACAACAAAATCCATCCAGTTATATAAATGCCTAATCAGAAATTATAGGATTTCCACAATCATATTTGAAGATTCACTTTCTCTCAAAATACAATCATGCAATATCTAGTACTAGGCATATAAAGGTCTCTTAAAAAAAATCTTATATTTATGTTTTTGAAAATAACTTTATAATAGAGCAGCCAAGAAAAATACCTCTTATATCACACACACTGAAGTAGAAATAAACAAGCAAATAAGCATACATTTGTTGAAAGGGAGGGAAAAAAAAAAGCAATTATGTTGTTATAAGACTGCAATGATGCAAAACATCTACTACTAGCATATCTAATTAAAAATAGCATCATCTTACCTGAAGTTCCTGGGTAGCAGATTGAATGGACAGAAAAACAAATAAAAGGTCTATTTAAAATGATCATTAAGGATACTCAAGATACTTGTCTTAGTTTTAACACAACAGCAATAATAATACTAGCAATATACACTTCAGTAGTCACAGCTTAAAAAAAAGATAAATATATGCTACCCCCAAAGAGAAAAATCAGTATTAAACATCAGAAGTTCCACATCTCCTAGTAAGTGGTGGATTATGCAGCTGGGTAACAAATCATAAGTACCACTTCTGAAATAGCTTTCCACTTCAGTGACAACTTTGGTCTACTCAACACTTTTTTTTTTTTTTTTTGAATGCCTAAGTAATTATTTGTGAGAAAATGTTGGATTTCATGAGAAAATGAATGAGGGTCATCAACTGGGGAAAAAAGGTGGCTTCACCTGATCCTGCTCACAAAGCTAAAAGTGTTTGTGATCATGATCTGTCTGGTGTGGGTGTGTAACTAATAGCCAAGACATAGTAACTAAAGCGTTCAGAAAAATTCAAGGGCAAAACCCCTTTATACAGATATTATTCAACAAATTCCTGAGACCTTTTTAAAAAATCATATTTAGTTGTAGAGGGACACAAGACAGTTTTGTTTATTTAGTCTTGTATGTGGTGTTTTGATCGAACCCTGGGCCTCACCTATGCTAGGCAAGTGCTCTATCTCTGCAAATTCTTGAGACCATTTAATGAAAAGGAATAGACATGACAAAAACAATCTGTCTTTGTTTTGACAACTGTTTGGCTAGAGAAGCCAAATATGTTTAACTTTCCCCAGTCAGGTTGTTCTAAAATTATTCACCAATGATGGGGCAAGGGACTGACCCTAAAAATACCACTATGTACCTGGCACTGTCCTAGAGGTTCTACATAGGTTATCTTATTAAGCCTTACATCAATTCTGCAGGCAGGATTATTAGACCCATTGGACAGATGAGCAGGTAGAAACCAGGAAGAACTATACCTATGTTTACGGTCACATGGCTAGGTCACTAGCAGAGATGAAATCCTAACTTGGAGCTGGGACTCTGAAGTCCAAGCACATTCCACTCTACAGTTCTGTAAGCATGTTAAAACTCTTTATTACAGCAAACATTCTCAGTGTTTTCTTTTTGAGACATGGTCTATGTTGGCTAAATTGGCCTTGAACTTTTGGGCTCAAGCAATCTTCCTGTCTCAGCCTCCCAAGTAGCTGAGACTACAGATACCCACCACAGTGTCTGGCTTTCAAATGGCTTATTTTATTTGGATAAAATGCACTCTTAGTCCCTTGAGTTTCTTATAAAATCTTAATCATAAAAGATGAAATGATCTTTGTAATTGTTTTTTGTTGCCCTAGGACAATAGAGATAATAGAGAACAAAAGGGAGGTACATGTAGTATTATTTATTGTCCCTGGAAAACATTAATGTAACATTTGTTTTGAAGAGATGGGCATCTCTGATTTTTCCCTATCTTATTTATTTTTTATTTTTGTGATGCTGAGCCTCCATACCTGCTAAGGACACACTCTACCACTGAGCAACATCCCCAGTCCCCTCCTTTGACAGAAATTAGATTTGTTAGTTGTTCTAAAATTGTGTCTGATCTCTCCACTTTACGCCATTACTGCTAGGTCACTTAGCATAACATTTTTCTCTGGATGGGACAGGAAAATGATGTTTCTCTTGCTTTGTCAGGTTTTTCCCTCCCTAGTTTAACTACCAGAATGAATCAGGTGCCTGAGCTTAAATTTTAGCTTAAACGCAAACATTAGGTCAGTTGCCAGACCAGGGAGCTAATCTTTTGACCTTAGTTGAACACTCAGCTCTGGCTCAGAAACATTGAGAAGGTATTTAAAGCAGTTGTGTTTTGCTTTAGACTTTAAAAACAATCCTTACTGCATTTAATAACCATAATTGATGATAGAGAAAACATTTAACAGAAATCTCTACAGTACTTTTTTTGGTTCTAGACAATTCAAGGTGAAAATGAAGCTGAGACTTGATGCATACACTGCAGTCAGGGCTTTTAGCTACCCCCTTGCCTCCCAAAACTAGGACCTCAGACATGTCAAGCAAGTGCTCTACAGCTGAGCTGCACCTCTCACCCCAGTCAGTGCTTTTCTACTAAGGGCTGGGTTTGCTCAATGTATTTTTCAGGGAAATAATCAGTGGAGAAACCATTATTTATTCTCAGGACATGGAGCTCTCCTGCTGGAATAGATATCTAGGTGGTCATGACCCAGGTAAGACAACAGCCATTAGCTCTTTGGCCTCAACTAGACATAAAGGGCTTGGACAGTAATCCTATTGTTTTAGGGAAATTAATCAAAGCATGATTTTCTCACAGGTTTGCAGTTAAGTAAGGAGGTGCCTCTCTGCCACCAGATATAATGAACTTTGAATTTGAACCTCCATTTTAATTGTAAGACTAGCTTAAAGCCCTTTGGAAAATATACTATATTTAGTTAAATAAGAGCTGCCAATGTTGAGCAACATGGAGAGCCAGGCTGGGTAACAGGCATCTTTACCCAAACCAATCTCACTTAAGTGAACTGAGCTTTTACTCTCAAGGGGCAAAAGACTGCCTATCATTTGGAACATGCCTCTGAGCTATGGAAAGGAAGGTAACTGACAGGGGTGTTGCTCCTCCCTCTAGACCCTGTTTTCAAAAACATGATTCATAGCAGAAAGCATCTTATTACATGATTATCATTCAAAATAAATGAATCTGTATTTGCCTGTTGGGGCTTGAATTCAGCTGCTCCAGGTGTCTGGAATGCTGGCCACCAAACTAAAGCAGGGCAGAGAGCTCTCCTGTGCTTTGTTTCAGGTTCTAATGACTTCATCAAACATTGCACAGAGATGCTGGAGCCCTGAGGGCTCCGTCTCTTGTTGAGGCAGGCAAGTTGTGAAGTAAGGAATTAGAGACTCAGAGCAACTTTACATTTAAAATAGTTAAATGCTTAGCATATTTGCCCAGGTGCCAGTGAACAGGCTCAGAACTGAAGTGTTTTTGTGATTTTTTTTTTTTTTTAAGATCCCCTTTGGACTGTAAACACACAGTCTCCGTGGTCGTTACCACTCAGATTTTTGTCATTTAGAAATGACTTGGCAGCTGTGCTTCGGACTCAGGAAGGGTGTGGCAACTTTTGCCAAAGTTAAGCCGTTGTACTTTGAATAAATTGATTCAATACAGAGTTTAGAGCTTTCCAGCTAAAGACCTTATTACAAAAATGTTCTGTTTAGCAGGTAGAAAGACAGTTTTGTTAGTCAAGGGCAAGTTCCGAAGGGGATTATTTTTATAGAGAATGTAACTGTACCTCTCCATCCTCCAGCTCCACGTCTAGGAAATCGAAGTCCCTAAAGACTCTAAACTGCTGCTCGCTGTTTGTGTCGTCCATGTTCTCCTGTTCCCTGGCGCCGTCCTCGGAAGATACCAGGCTCGTCTGATGCTCCAGCAGATCCAAGTCCCCACACGAGGAAAAAATCACCTACGAGTCAAAAGAGCCCTCTCCTGAGAAACTGGTCTGCCTTCAGTTGTTTGTGCTATGAAAAACAGTAATTGGCTCTTCTTAGCACTGTATTTCCAGTACACACCTAATTCCTTAAGTGGGTATTTTTAGAATGTTCTTTTATTATTTATGTTGGACAGGTGCCTTTGGATTAAACTCCTCGCAAAGATGCAAGTTCATGCACCAGGAAAATGGTGAAGAGTGGAATTGCTGCCTGTTAATGGATAAAGATGGGACACTAGCTGTGTGTGTGAGAGACTGAAAACTGAGCATGTGTTCACAAACTGGAACACTAAGACTGTTTTCCAGTGTTTCTGACCTAATTAAAATGAGATATTATACACATTCACAAGCACGTATATCTCAAATACACATAAATGATAGCTTAAAGACAATACTCAGATAGGTTATTACAGAATGAACCATAGGAACAAAGATTTTAGCCCTTTTAGAGATAAACCAGGAACTGGTAAGGAATAAGAAATAGAAGCCAAAAGTATAGTACTTCTCATTGGGATTGCAGAATAGTTGAATACCATGCCCATAATTTGTACTTAAATTTTTGTCCTTTTGAGTTAAACAAATCTATATAGTATGTTAATGTTTTAAAATTATACATTTAAGGTTCCTTTTTTACTGAGCCACTGTAATAGCACTTTGTAGAAACAATGAACTGTGAACAAACCTAAAGGTTTTGCTAGTCAGTATCTACTGAGCATAGGTTGAAATTAAGTAAAATTAACAGTAATTTTATGTAACCATTATGTTTCAGTCTTCTTTGAAAAATGGGGAAATCTATGGAAAAATGTCAGTTGTATTTAAATTCTTACAGTAAAAAAGAGCAAAGGGACTTTAAATGTAGTTTTTTTCCTCTAGTGTTTAAGTTGTAAGACATATACTATACTGTTGAATACCCCAAATCTAAAAATCCAGAATCTGAAACTTTTTGAGTTTTGACATGATCAAAATATTCATTTTTTGGGGGGGGGGCGGGGGGTACTGGGGATTGAACTCAGGGGCACTCAACCACATCTCTAGCCCTATTTTGTATTTTATTTAGAGACAGGGTCTCACTGAGTTGCTTGGTGCCTCACTGAAGCTGATGCTGGCTTTGAACTTGCAATCTCTGCTTCAGGCTCCCAAGCTGCTGGGATTACAGGTGTGCACCATCATGCCTGGCAAAATTTTCAGATTTTATGAAGTCTGAATTCTCAGGTTAGGGTTACTCAATGCGTAAAGTCTATGCAAATAATTTCAAAATCCAACGTGCTGAAACTTGAAATACTTCTGGTCCCAAACATTTTAGGGGGATATTGAAAATATATATGGGATATTCAACCTGTATGCTCAGGTGTTCTGGGTTTGCAAATGGGTAGGTGAGATAAACAGCACTGAGGGCCAGTCAACTGGTCAATGAGAGAGGAGAAACAGAATTCAGATTTCCTCAGCTGAAGGCTCATTTTCCTAGTTAAGAGCGTATCTTATTTGTAAAGTACTTCAGGTAAATATTTCTAGCTGGTAAAGGCTTGGCATAGGGGAAGACAGTGTGAACCTGAAGAAGTGCCAGTCACAGTGGCAAGAAATAGCCCCAAATGGCTGTGCTGCACTGCAGAGGCAAAATGCTCTTGTTTCTCTCCCTTGTGTGCTAGGAGGCTCTGTCTGCCTCTGCCACCATCCCCTCTGCCCTAAGTAATGTCACAGGATCAATAAGCCACTGATCTAAAAAGCAGAGGCCACTTAAGTCACTTAGCTGATGGATGGGATACTTTTGAGGTGGAAAGAAATATCAATTTGTACTTGTGCAAGTACTTACAAGCCTCTAACACTTCACCTAATTGTGAACAACATTAGTACTGAGATAGAGTATGGGATTTTAAAAATGGCTCTGCAGAGAAATTGTTCTCCTAATTCTTACTTGGTAAATCATTTAATTTGCTATTTCTTTTTCATAAATAATAAAGATGTTGTGATATAGATGAAATAAAAATTCTTGGTGAAATCATACCCTGACATTTGTACTATATAATATGTTTGTGTACACAATCTAAATTTTCTGAATTTTATAAGCTTCACAAGTTTGCTTATATATTTCAGTCATGTCACTCACAAGCCTAATGGCATTTTTTTTTTCAGTGAAAGTTAATGAGAAAAAAAATCACTAAAAACTGTGCAATGTTTATAATGTTAACATCACAATGCTTAAAAATAATGTTTCTACCACATGATAAGTTTTGTCATTATTTTCATCTTTACTGTACATGAGTAAATTAATGACATCACAGCAAGGTATGGGTGTCCAGAGTAAAATTATATCCAAGAGGAATTAGAGCCAATAAATATTTTCCTTGTTTCTAAATAAGTGAGATTAAAAATCATGAAATGGGGAGGAATAATCCATGGGTTTGGTGCAGATGATGGATATCATCCTTGTTTTTCATGATAGTATCTTAAACTATATGATCAATGGCAAAAATAGAGTAAACCAAAAGAGCATAGATAACAAAATAACCGTGATGTGTGCTAGGACTTACGGATGGGTTTTTGCTTAATCCTACTTCTTGGCCACACAGAGAAAGGACATGCACCAACTTTTCTTTTGTCCTCTTCTGCAAAAGAAACACAAGGCAGGTTTTTACTATGGGGTCCTGAAAGTAAATCGGCTCTAATATTGTAGCCACTAACCACAAAGGGTGGGCAATCGTGCTTGAAATGGGGCCACTCAGAATTGAGATTTTAAAAACACACAAGGCCCAGTATGAAAAAAGTAGGCTATCTCATCAATAATGTAAAATGTTGTTATAATTAATTTCGCTTGTTTCTAGTTATTTATTTAGCCATGCTGGGACTGAATCTAGGCCTTGCACATGCCAGGCAAGTTCTTTACCACTAGCTGTACCCCAGTCCAGTTTCTTTTTGCTTTTTTTTTTCTTTTAAGATGACTATTGCAACATTTAAGATGAGATCTGTATTATGTTTCTATTGGATATTGCTGACCTAAGTTATCCCAAGAAGTGGGATAACCAAGTCCCTAGGTTCTTGCATGAATATCCATCTCTTTCCTTGATAATTTTCTTGTATGTTACAACATCTAAATTAAATATATTCTGTTATAGGACAAGTCTTCTTTCCTCAAAATGAGAGAATAACTACTTTCTGCAGAATGAAAACATTCAATTATTCGTAAGCCATGTAAAATCTTTCTGGATTAATTTTAAATAGATTTAATTCTTTTTTTTCTTTATAAACCTATTTTCCAGCCCCCTAGGCATAGGGATTCTTCTGTAAACCATATATTTCAATGAGATGACTTGGTCTCAGAATGAATGGAAGGCTAAGAATGAAAAAATGTATTAACTAGAGCCTAGAAAACGTTACTGAACTTCAGAACAGCTCTTCTAGCAATCTTAATGTCTTTAAAATGGTTTTCTCCCCTTCAGTCTGACTCATGTTTTTTATGCAGAATGTACATTCTTAGATTTTCCTTCCTGTTGGTACTTGGTTCACTCCATCCATCTTTCCAGGTTACAGAAGAGACACCCAATATGGTGTCATTTCAAAGTCAGAGACTGGAGAACCTTGATGTTGAGTGGTGGCAGGAGATTTGCTCAATGATTCTCCAAGTCTTAATGTCACTGTATAATTCTGTATAATTCTCTTAATAAATCAATTAAGTGAAACATGGACAAGGGTTATACATTTTTCTTTTTTTCCCCCCATTTTCAACAACTTAGTGCTCACTAAGAATCTGCTGCACTCCAGCAGGTTTGTGCCATATGTTCCATTTTCCAAACCTTTGAGAATGAAGGTGAATACTGCTGGGCATGCAAAAAAAAAAAAAAAAAGTGTTTTTCCTTCCCACCACCCATTTCACCGTCTTCTGATACTCTAGTTTCTCTCTTCATTCTGGGGAAGGGCTCCTCTCCCAGTCCTTTGACACCATCACACACCCTGAAAGTGTCCTCTTTTTTTTTTTTTTTTTTTTAAGAACTGCTATGGATTCCAGAGAGGGATGGCCTTGCTCATCTGAAATCACCATAGCCGAAGGCCAAGAAAACCTGGAGATTCAGAGGTCATTGCTGCCTCCATGTAAAGAGCCAACCTGAGAATGAAGTCAACAGATGGGAAAATATGGGGCCAAGACTTTGGGAAGGGAAGTTGGGAACAGTGAGAAGAAGAGTCTAAGGCTCTTGTTCCTGACCTTTGTCAGGATCCCGCTGTTTGAAGCCAAGTTAGGTGGTACTATAGTTGAGATCTTGAATGTCCCAATGTGTTAAAGGTTTGGGCATTAGCCTATAGTGCTCTTGGGAGGTGGTGGGAACCTCTTGAAGAGTAGAAATCAGTTAGGTTACTGGGGGCATGCCCTTGGAGGGACTATTGAGGGTCTTAGCCCTTTCCTTTCTTCCTTTGCTTACTGGCTGCCATGAGGTGATTGGGCACCTCCTCTGCCACATACACCTGCCATGAGGTACTGTGCCATCACAGGTCCAAGGAAATAGAGCCAAGTGACCAGACTGAAACTCTGAAATCATGAGCCAAAATAAAGCTTTCTTCTTTATAAGTTGACTCTCTCAGGATTTGGTCAGAGTGCACAAAAGTGACTATCACAGATGGTTTAATTCCTTTTCTACTTCAGGAAAATTTTCAGTGGATTTCTGCTACAGCACTAAAAGACTTTTGAATAATGCAGTGTTTTAACTAAGCCCAATGACCTCAGTACTTTGACACAGTCATCTGTAAACTGAATACAGTCGTAGGCTACATAATCAAACCACAGAGAAGTCTAGCAGCCCCCTCCACTCAGCCTATGCATGGAGATCATGATTAAAGTTGATGCTCCTAAGGGGAGCCAGAATGGTCTTTTAGTATACAGCCCTATTGACTCTTTGGGTGTCTAAATCCCATGGAATTGACTGTTTGAAGGGCTGCTGCAATGTGAAAGATTTTGCTTTCTAAGCCTTAAGAAAACTAGAATCAATGAGTAGAAGTAACAGAGTCCGACTTCAACTCCACATAATGAGCTGTTTAAAGATAAAATGGGTGTCCTCAGAATGCTGTGAGACTCATCACTGCAAGTGTTGCTGTCTGGAAGAACAAATGTTGTGAGTGGGCATGGAGGAATCCAATATCACATGGGCAGCTGGACTCGGTAGGTCCTCTAAACTGCCTTCTAACAATGCATGTCTAGGATTGTATACCTGAGAATACTGAGGCCTTTTCCAGCTGACTGGAACAAGAACATTGGAATTGGAGCCTGATGAGGTGGATGATGTGCTCCGGGTAACTGCCATGGCCCTAGGCTTCCCATCACGCCCAGAAGAATTCTGTAGTTCATCATACCGCCTCCCAATGATTGGTGTCTGGAGAAAAAAAACACAAAAACACTCATTCTTCCATCTCATTAATAATTCTGTGGTATATAAAATGGGACTGTTCTACCCAGCAGAACTGAAAAATGCTCAAATGATTAAAAGCAGGTCCTAGAAGTTCAGTGTTACATTTAAGCTCATTTCCCCAGTGTTCACATAAACATTCTGAGTCATTTTTTCTTCAGTATTTTCCCATCCTCTTTAGCAGTAGAAAACAAATCCAAGAACTTGTTCTTTAATATGCTTTAGAAACCACTGAAAAGATTAGGTGCAAAACATGGAGGAAAGCTAACAGTTTTCAGACGTTTAACGATAAGGAAGAACTTCTGCCAGTTATAATGAAAGGCTAAAATTCCTTCCCCTCTCTCCAACCGCTAATCATCAATCTTTAAATACTCTTCATTTTTTTTAAAGTTTTTTTTTTTTGGTACTAGAATTGAACTCAGGGGCACTCAATTACTGAGCCACATCCCCAGCCCTATTTTGCATTTTCTTCAGAGACAGGGTCTCACTGAGTTGCTTAGCACCTCACCATTGCTGAGGCTGGCTTTGAACTCATGATCCTCCTGCCTCAGCCTCTTGAGCTCCTGGAATTACAAGCATGTGCCACTGTGCCTGGCACTCTTCATTTTTAAAAGGTTACATTATGTGTATCTTTTCAAATTTATTTAAATGGATGAGGTCAGAACCAGGTATTTGGGCAACACTTTAGAACTTCCACTTCCTGAAAGCCTTGGGGTGTGGTAGACAGTGCCTCCCAAACTTGAGTCCCAGGAAGGTCTCTGCTGCAGACACCAGCTTACAGGCCTGTCCTCAGAGGTGGCAGGAACTGACTGGTAATTCCACACCTGGCTCCTAAGGCTCATCATTCTGGAGTATTTCTGGGTCTCTGAGTGTTGAGGGATGCAGCTAACTGGCTATTTATATATTATATCTCTTGGGAATAGAATAAAGTAAAAATAACTTTCCCCCTAGCAAGTAAAAATGATGCATAGAGATTGAATCAATATCTTAATATTATTTATATACTAAATATAGATGCAGGTGTCACAGTGGCAGCAAGGGTATCTCATCTCAAATACTGAAGCAAGAAGTCAGTGAATACTATTGTGTCAAAGAAGCAACCTGGATGTAACCTATTTAAGAGTGCAAGGGGGTTCCACATAAGCAGATCCAGTTTTTCTCTCCACTCTTGGGGAATGCATTCATTCAGCAGTGTTTGAAATAATTGTTAACAATCTCTGTGCACCAGGCATGGTACCACCAGGCTCTGATTATAAATATCAGCAGAGTAGTTTCTGCTTTGGAGGAGGCATGCTACGTGGGTCATGGGATAAGAGACACAAAAGTCAAGTTATGTTATACTTTAGACTTAATTAAGTACAGGCACCTAAAGGTCGGCTTAGGAAGCAGCTGGTAAATCTGGCCATTTTTTGTCCTTTCTTTTTTTCCTCAATTCCGTAGCATGGGTTCTCACTTTCTCTTTACCTTACCCTGTTCAAGGCAACCATAAAGGTGGATTCCATATTTCTGTAATTCCAAACTGCAGTCATTTATGGATCTGGTATAGATCAGAGAGAAAGGTTTTGGCTAGCAAGATATGACATGATACTTGTAAGATAAAGAATGAGTGACATGGCTTACAATGTTTAATATTCCATTTTAAAGTAGCTTTCTAAAAAATTGTTTTTCATATAACTGAGGTTTCTTTTTTTTTTTTTCTTTTTGGTACCAGGTTTTGAACTCATGGGTACTTGGCCACTGAGCCACATCCTTAGTCCTATTTTGTATTTTATTTAGAGACAGAGTCTCACTGAGTTGCTTAGTGCCTCATTGTTGCTGAGGCTGGCTTTGAACTCACAATCCTCCTATTTTAGCTTCCAGAGCTGCTGGGATTACAGGCGTGCATCACCACACCCAGCTAGGTGAGATTCTATTTCTTAAAGCTGCTAATTATGAGCCCCAGAGAATATGAAATTCAGTTTTCTTTCTTTTTCTTTTTTTTTTTTTAATGGTGCTGGGCATCAAACATAGGGGCTTGTACATGCTCATCCTCAGCCCTTCAGTGTGTCCTTAATAGAATGGAACCAAATTTAGACTTTGGCAGTCTTTGTTAATAATAGATATAAGTCTTCCTTTCTCCAGGAAATTACTTGTAACTTTTGCCATCATAAGTTCATGCTGAAGTTCACAGAAACAGCGAACAGAGTTAAGTACCTCTGAAATGTCAAAGTGAAAGTCCAAGGTTTTTCCAGGTAGCTCCTTGGAAGCACTAGTCCACACACGATGTATTTCTATCTTTGAGAGGTCACTGTGCTGGTAGGAAGGCAACACCAGGCTGGCCGATCGAGACACGACCAACTTTAAGATATTCAAAGCCTCTCTCCAGTGAATGCTCTGCAAGAAATAAAACACTCAAGGTTAAAAACAACTTCATTTTGGAAAGCTAACTGCTGCTGAAATTGACTGACTCAAAACATGTAGGGAATTCCGTGATTAGTAAAAGGCAAATGATATAAGTAGGCCATTTATATCTAAAATGAGCTACATTTAGGAAATAAGCAAATAAAAAAGACTCATTTTGTCTGTATTCAAGTGAATAAAGTTAAAAAAATCACAAGTACAATTTTTGCCAAGGAGCTATCTCCTTAATTTGATTAAAAAAAACAAAAACAAAAAAACTCCCAATGCTAAAATGTTATGCTGTTGACTATTCACTCTTTCTCAAAGTTCTCCCCCCTCCAGGTTCCAGGTTTCAGTCTTCCTTGATCCTTTGACTTCTTTGGGTCTTCTTGCTCCATTTTATTCCTGGGCCTCTTGATCTCTTTTCTCACTTCATATCTTTTTTGTTACCTAACACAGGATTCTGGAAGCTCTTCTTAACTCCTCTTAACTTTCCCTTTGATATTTCTTTCCCTTTTGTCTATTCCTGTTTAAACTCAGTGGAATTCTCTCTGGCCCTGCCCAGATTATTTCAATGGCCCCTTAACTAGCCTTAGAATCAGCTACCCTGATCTTTCTAGAACTCTTCAGAGCAGGCTCTCTCTCTGTCTCCATGCTTCAATGGCTCCCTCTAGTGGACAGGGTGGTGTCCACACTCTGAGCATGACCTGAAGATCTCATTCCATGTAGCTACTACTAGAGTACCCTAGGCCAGGCAAGGTCTCTTTGGCCTCTGTGCCTTTCCTTATGCGATCCCCTCATCCTGGAATGCTTTTCCTTTCCTTAATATATATCAACTTCCTGCTCTTCTTTAATAATTAGTTTGTTTTACCATCTTTGTTTTCTTGACTTGTGGGAAGAGGTACTTCCCCCACAAAAATATTGAACATAGTTAAAGCAACTTAATAACAATTGTAATTATTTTTATAATAATAAATAAAATACATCTCCTTCCTTAAATTCTGCACAAGGGAAATCATGGATTAATATGAAATTAGCCATTATTCAAGGTAAGAAATTAAGTACCAGAGATGGCCTGCAAGCCCAGGACAGAGTGAACATCCTACTAATACAACAAGAAAACGGGCCACATGATTAATAGAAAGATGTAGCTGACCCCTTCGTCCCGTGAGTGCTGAAATTGTTATTGAATGAATGCCTATCTTGTGGCGCAACTATCATTGGCACTTTAAAAGTGAAGAAAAAAAAATAAACAACTTTTAGCATTAAATAATCCCAGTAATTGTCATTGTTGGAGATGGAAAGGAATATCTAAACTTTACACTACCTGTCAGTGAGATTTGCCAGAGCAAGCCTATTGTTTGCTCTTGAATTCTGCAACTCTCCATGCACACTCCTGAGAAGAAAGAGATGAACAACTAGATGTGGAGAAGCCTGCGTTCCCTGTGTTCAGTCTGTGGTGTGTGTTTCAGATAAACTTCCAGGCTCTAGAAACGGTTTCTGCTCTCTTTGCTCCTTTGAGATCTACTTATATTTTTCTTTTATTTTTATTAATCCCCACTTCTACTCCCACCCAGTTGGGGAGTCTCAGGATATGGCTTTAAAGAAACATTCTGTAGGTGTTTATTGATGTTCACCAAGTGTCCTGCTGTGCCGGGTGCCTGGTTCAGTGAAACAAAAGGAATGACTTTGGAGCCAGATTCAAATACCAGCTCTACCCTCTACTAACTGAGATCATGGGGCCAGTCTCTGGTTGATTTTTGTTTTTATTAAATCTTTCAAGACTGTTTATGACAGAAATATTAAAATAACACAGAAACAGAGACTAGCATAATGAACCACCAGACACTCTTATTAGTTATTCACATTGTCATTTTATTTATGATCCCAACAAACAGTTGGGAGTTTTTTAAAAAACATTTATGCAAGTATCTTAACCTTAGTTGGCTTACTCTAAAGTGGGGATTTTAACTGCTGAGTAACTTTTCACATGTTGAGGCACCTGGTCTGGAACCTGGTACATGGCACGCATACAAGTTCCTTGTCCCTCCTCCTCCTTTGAAATGAGATACCAGAAATAAGATCTGCCCCTGCCCTCCCAGCCAGGTGTGTGCTTTTAATATGCAGCCTACAAGCCCCAGTAAGCAGAACTGTGCCCTCTGAAGGTCAGGATGTGCCAAGGCCTCATTCTGTCTTCTCAGAGTGCCACTCAGGATGCTGTCAACCACCAGGCTGGACTGCCCTTCCTTTGTCATGGATACCAAGGAATGAATACATGATCTAGTGCCCATAAGGCTTTGTACCCAAGGACAAATTATAGACAAGTCTTAGTCTTTTTGGATTGACTCTGCTGATAAGTAAACTTATGCAGATACTCACTTGCACGTATTTTTCAATAGTCTTAAGAACTTCCACATTAAACTGCTTGACAGGAACAACAGAAAGGTCCATGTAGCTGAGCAGACTGTAGATCACTTGGAGGAGGGGCTGTTGCATACTGGGGAGACCTTTCTCCAGCAACTGTGGGAGGTAAAGTGCAGGTGAAGTCAGCTCTACACAGGACTTTCCCATAGAAGCACCCAGGTTTCCCCAGATCTTTACCATTGCATATTTCCTTAGGAGGGAATATAAAAGATCCTAACTACCGAGGAAATGGAGATACCATCAAAGGTACTGTGGGGAGGTCCAGGGACATCATAAAATGTACACAATATAATATTAAAAAAATAAATCTCAAAAGGAAAGCATCAAACAACATTAATCATCAACAATTATAAATTGTATAAATTAAATAAATTATAAATTGCAATATAATTTTTCAGTTATGAAATTGGCAAAGATTAGAAACTGGCAATATTTAGTATTGGTAAGAAGAAAAGTAATTAGGTATTCTTATACATCAGTAGAAATGTAAATTGGATAATTTGGTATTTGAGATGATGAGCAATAAAGAGGTCTATATTTTTGGAATAATATTTACACTCTTAGGAACATTTCTTTCCAAAGCCAGAGATAAACACTATGAAATCATAGTGTATGTATGAGATTTCTGTAATTTATATGGTTAAAAAAGCATACACAGACAAGAAAGCACTACAAGCAATTTAAATATTGAACATCAGGGAAATTGATATATAAATTAATAGTAAATTACATTGTGAACTATTATGTAGTTAATAATGTTTTAAAGACAGCAAAGCATATTAGATGATATTTAAGTAGAAGATAAAGCATATATAATTGTCTTACAGAACCAGCCTAGGTGTCCATAAATGGATGAATGGATAAAAAAAAAAAATACACAGTGGAGTTTTATTCAGCCATAAAAAAGAATGACATTATGTCATTTGCAGGAAAGTGGATGAAACTAGAGACCACTATGTTAAGTGAAATAAGCCAGACTCAGAAGGTCAAGGGTCATATGTTCCCTCTCATATGTGGAAGCTAGAGAGAGGAAAAAGGAAAAGAAAGGTGGGGGCAGATCCCATTGAAATCAAAGGGAGATCAGTAAAATAGAGAGCAAAGGGACCAGGGGCAGGGAAGAGGGGAGAGAATGGGGAAATGCTGGGAAATGATATTGGCCAAATTATATTGTGCACATGTACAAATATGTAACAATGAATTCTGCCACTACTTACAACTAGGATACACCAATAAAAAACACGGGCAAAGAGCATACAGATTAGCTACATAACTGTTGATGCCAAAATTGAAATGGATATGTTTGTTGTACAGAAACAGTATTTCTCTCTAAATAAAATAATTTTGGGTGATGCTTTTTCTTTATTTTTAAAAATAATGTTCTGGACCTTCCAAATTTTCTGTTATGAGCTGTCTTTTATAATCAGGAAAAAAGCCAATGATATTGTCTCAAAGAAAAACAGAATAGTGAGAAAATATTTATGTTAGGCATCATGATAAAAGTTTGCTATTCAAAATAAACGATTGATAGAAATGATACAAATAAATCCTGAAATTCCACATCAAAAGTGGTCAAAGGAAATAACAGAACAGCTCACATAGGAGGAAGTAAACAGTTACGTAAATCCATTGTGTGGAAAATTGAATATCTTCACCAGAAAGGAAATACATAAGGAAAATAATCTGACAGTATTTATAAAAAGCACCAGACAGAAAAATGAATACCTGCAGTGACAAAATTTAGTAGGAATATAGCCACACAAAAAATATTGATACATGTTAGTATTGTAAATTAGGAAATTCTCTGTGGAGACCAATTTCTCAAATGTAGTAACATATCCACATAGTCGTGTCTTTTGACTGGGTAGTTATACTTTGGGAAAAGGGATCACTTGATATTTTTAGATAATATAAGTGATCACTTGATAAAATATCAAATATCATTTGATAAAAGGTCTACATAAGAGGACCCCTTCTAATAGAATGAATTATGAACATAAGCAACAAAAGGGAAATGGTTAAAGTTTTACATGAACCTGACAGAATTCCAGGGTTATTCAAAACAGCACCCTGTGAGTTAGGTCAACACATGGAGATACACACAGAATTAGCATAAACAGAGCAGGTGCAATGCAAGGGCTGCCCAGTGCCACACAGTTAGACATATGTGCATGGCTACGACCTGAAAAAACAGATAACTGAAACAAACGTGAATTGGATCATATATGGTGGAAAGTTGGGTAAGCTCATAATAAAATTTTTTGGTGACAATTTTGTGATAAGGGCAGAACAGAACAAATTAGGTGACTTATTTTAATATATATTTTTTTTGTGTGTGTGTGTGTGTGTGATGAAGTACACATCATAACCATTGTAACCATTTTTAAGTGTGCAATTCAGTGGTATCAATTCACATTGCTGTGCAGCCAACATTATGTACTTCCAGGACTTGCTTATCATTCCATACTGAGATTCTATACCAATAAAATAACTGTCTCCTACCTACTGCCCCCAGCTCCTGGTAATCAATATATATATTTTGCTCCTATAGATTTGCCTATTCTATGTGCCTCAAGTACGTTGAATCATGATATTTTCCTTTTGTATCTGGCTTATTTCACTTAGCATTATGTACTCAAGGCTCATCTGTGGTGAAACATGTGTTAGAATTTCTGCCTCTTGAGGGTGAATGGTGTTCCATTGTGTATGTGTCCCACCTTCCATTGTGTATGTGTCCACCTTTTGAAACTATCATGGTTAGTATTCCAAACAATTATTGCTTCCTTCTATCCTATCACCCCCTACATCTTCTTTTAAAACAGGCATCATTATCCGCCTTGTAAACAGGATGTTTGTGCCAGTTCTCCCAGTACTTATTGTGTACCGAGGTATGTTCAGGGACAGCTGTGACCAGGTGATTATCAACAGCACTGGAGTGGCACTATGAGAGGTCCTTATAGTGCCAGGTGGGGAAAGAGTAAATGAATCCTGGACTGCTGATGGTCTGATGTAGCCCATAGATTGCTGATCCATACTGTCAGGCAGAATCCTGCAGGGTCAACTGCAAATATTGTTTTATGGGTTTGTACCTTATGCTACATAGATAATTTCAATTAAAAAAATTTTTTTTAGTTGTAGATGGACACAAACCTTTATGTGCTGAGGATTGAGCCTAGTGCCTCACACTTGTGAGGCAGGTATTCTACCATTGAACTACACAGCCCCATCCTGAACTGTTCAATCTTGTAGAAGCTTTGAGGAAAGGTTGACTTTTTAACTTATTTGAAACCTATATTGGTGATATAACTAAAAGAAAAGTTAGGATAGATTGCCCTTATCTCTTTGGATAAGGATTTTATGACCTTGCATATTAAATTTGTTGGGACTATAGGACTACCTGTGAAATGCTATATATTTCTAGCACAAACAGAAACATAAAATTAGAGTTCGGGTTGTAATGTTTGTGCTACAAACACATTCCAGTTTGATTAAAAAAAGGTAATGATAAACATTTTTTTTAGGAGGTATGTTTTGTTAATTACTTCAGAGCAAACAACCATTAAACACATCAAGATACACAGTAACTCCTTAAATAAGATTTGAACACTCAGAATAATTAGGATAAGATTTTCACATCTCTGTCATGCTGATAGGTATTAATAAACAGGAGTTTAAGCTTTGGAAGTAGCTAGATCTGGGATCAAAGACCTGCTCTGCCACCTTAAACTTAACCTGGCAGAGCCTCAGATTCTTTATTATAATAATAACCACATCACTGGCTTGTTGTGAAGATTTGAGATGCTTCCATTCGTATCTATAATAATATGTAGCAGGGACTCAATAAACAGAAGTTGAGGGTATATTATCAGTTCCATATGAATATTTAACCAGAGAAGCTATAATGGATGTTATCCTTAGTTTAAAGCTTACCTCTGCCAGGTAGGTGACCATGTTCAAGGTAATGTCAGCATATGCTTCATGAAGGTATCGACAGACCACATTGACCCACGTGGCACAGTCCCTTGTATAACTGTGTGTTTTATAAAGAGTCATAACGTGTGCAAGATTTGAAAGTTTAGGGTTTTTCTCTTCCAAACAAACCTTTTAAGATAAGAAAAGCAATTAAGGATAAAGTATTCTAATGAAAGGAAGAAATGTTAGCAAATTTTGCTGTAAATCCTGATAGTCTGGAAAGGAGACTGACAGAACTTGTGGTAGTCACAGCAGGGCTTAGCTTAGTAATTAGCTAATACAATTTCCAAAAGTTCTTTCCACTCGTTTTTCTTAAATTATTAAGATTACAAAGAAGACAGTATGCATCAGACACTCACATTTGAGAAAAATCACTGGCTTCCCTGAGCCTGGTCATTTCTGACTGACACTGGGCCTTCCTGCAGGCCCATATGGACTTGCCTGAATGTGGAACTGAAACTCATACCTGAGCAATCCTTTCGGCTATATCTTTACAGAACTGATTGGGATTTTCAAAATGCTGGATCAGCTGGGGCAGGAGACACAAGACATTCAGTGGAAACCCTGGATTAGAGAAGATACAATGAAGATAGCTAAATACAGGACATTTTAACTGGTGACAGTGGACAGGCACATTATAGGTTTTATTCTGCAGTGATACAAAAGCAGTCTTTGGAAGCAGCTTAAATATGACCTAAAACAAAAATCCATGAAAAACAGACAATCACAATGGCAATAATTATAAAGGAGGCACCAAAGTCGATTTGCAATTTTAACATTCATTTGTTATCTTGTGATGGATTCTTTGTGAATGAAGAATGACGGCACAGATTTTATTGGAACAGACTGAATTGAGCTGAAACACTAATTTGAAATTTTTATCAAAACACATTTTAAGAAAAGCTGGTATAAAAGGACATAGATCAACCAATTTAAGTCTTAGTCACAGAATTATAAAGACTTATTGGAGATTGAACCCAGGGGTGCTTTACCACTGAGCCACATCCCCAGTCATTTTTTATTTTGAGATGGTCTCCCTACGTAGCATAGAGCCTATCTAAATGGCTGAGGCTGGCTTTGAACTTGTAATCTTTCTGCCTCAGCCTCCTGAGTCACTGGGATTACAGGCATGTGCCACCCAGCTCGGCTTAGTAAAGACTTTTTCAAACAATGAGGAATGGCCTAGTACCTCTGAGTTAAAATCTAGTTCATGAAATGAATTCTGGGCTATTTGCCATGGTATTAAAAATCTGGTGTGTTGATTTGGTTTAATTCAAAACAATAGGGAATCAATAAAATTTTAAAGAGGAAAAGAAAAGCAATAAATAATTAAAAGATTTGGGAGTTGAAAAAAATGGGAAAAATAGTCTGTATAAGAGCACAGGAATATTCCACGTATATATAATACGTCAAAATACATTCTACTGTCTTGTATATCTAAAAAAAACAAGTAAAAATAAATAAATAAATAAATATATAAATAAATAAAAGAAAAAAAAAGAGGTTCAACATATACCAAACAAACCCTTCACAACTTTGAGAATCAAATAGATCGTAACAAAATAATCCTGGGTGACTTGAACACACTTCTCTTACGACTCAATAGATCTTCCAAACAAAAACTAAATAAAGAAGCTATAGAACTAAAAAATACAATTAATAATTTGGACTTAGCAGACATATATAGAATATTTCATTCATCAATAACTGAATACATTTTCTTCTCAGCAGCACACAGATCCTTCTCTAAAACAGACCATATCTTATGCTACAAAGCAACTCTGAGCAAATACAAAGAAATAGAGATTAAACGTCGCATTTTATCAGATCCTAAGGGAATGAAGTTAGAAATCAATGATAAAATAAAAAATAGAAGCTGCTCTAACACCCAGAGACTAAAAATATTACACTATTGAATGACCAATGGACAGTTGAAGAAACCAGGGATGAAATTTAAAAAAAATACTTAGAGATAAATAAGAATAGAGACACAACAGATCAAAATCTCTGGGACACTATGAAGGTGGTTCTAAGAGGAAAGTTCACTGCACTGCCCTTTTGATTTACTGCCTTGAAATATCTTCTACCATATAAAGGCAGTGCTGGCCATCACGCCTTGAGTCTCGCACCTGCTAGGTAAGTGCTCTACCACGTCCCCAACCCCATTAAATGGAATTTTAAAAGAAAACAAAACAAAACAAAAGAAGCTATTCCTAAAGAACCATTTCTTAGCAAAACTGTTAAAAGCAGTAAACCCATATCATCTTATTCCACTAAAGATAAATCCCACCACGAGCACTGAGAGTGAGCGAGTTGGCTTTACCGATAGCTTGGGATGAATCCACCATGGAGACTTTGGACACGGGGGTCAGCGAGCTGAAAAGCTGCAGGGTCAGGTCGGTTGTGGTGAGAGATGTGAATCCCTTCAGCAGCAGCTGCTGCAGCCCTGAGAAGTCAGCCCACTTGAGCTGGGCCTGGAGTTTCTCAAGTTTTTCTCGGTTCTCAGCTTTATCAAGTGGCATATGGGCTAGTAGTCGATTCAACAGCCTTAAGGCCATTAGGTACTCAAACTCAAAGTCAGACTCCATCAAGGCCACTGTGACCCAGAAGATGGTGGCCAACAGGTTGGTGGGATGATTTATGTGGGAGGGGTCCGTAAGACTGTCCTTCAAAGAGGAGGAGCTTCTGGTTTTTGAGGAAAGACCCTGTTGGGTACAAGCCTGAATTCTGTCCAGGGTGGCACTTCGAGGTGGGTCAGAGGATCGGTCAACCACACCAAACTTCTTGGGCACAGAGAAGCTTCTTTGATGCCGACTCCGTTCTGCGGTTGTGGTGTTGCCACCGGCAGCTCCTGGGTTCACATTTAGTTGCCCTGTGCTCTTTCTGCTTGCAGTGAGTTTAGTGCTGGAGCTTAAATCTGGTGATGAAGAGCTGGGTATAAAAATAAATAAGTTCAAATTATAAAATAAATAAATTCGTTCAGTGGAGTGCCCACAAGCTTCACTAAAAGTGAAGTCCACTCAAGTCCACTAGGAAACACTAAAGAAGGGGAAATATTCTTTGGAAATAAATGCTACTTTCTTCTAATTTCTTTTTCCTTATCCTTAAACTTTAAGCTATGAAAAACAAACCTTGACAAGTACAACCTTTACTGGCTCAATTTCAAGAAAGATGAGCTCAATTATACAATCTGGGTTCATGAATATTTCAAATGAGTTTTCTATATATTGGCAGCAACAACAGCAACAAAAAAAAAGCAGGAATTTCTTTTAAGTAAATTCAACATTTATTCCGACAGTTTTTATAGAAATAGTTCAGCTGAGCTTTGTATATATTCATTTAAAAATACTGTTTAGTTTTAGTTTCTGTTTACCAAATGCCTATAATCCCAGCAATTTGGGAGGCTGAGGCAGGAGGATCACAAGTTCCATGGCCACCTTTGGCAACAATAGTGAGACCCTCAGTAACTTAGTGAGGACCTGTCTCAAAATAAAAAATAAAATAGAAGGACTGGGGCTGTACTTCAGTTGTAAAGTACCCCTGGATTCAATCCCCAGTACTCATCTTCCCCCACCAAAAAAGTATTCAAGGACACGAAATAGTGAAAAATCATTAATATTTGTATCAATGCAGAAATAATATTTGGTGTCTATCTTCTGATCTAAAAATATTTATAAAATGTGTATCTATGTATATTATAACTTCCTTTTTTAACTTTAGGAAATACCATACATACTTTTCAGGTCATATATAGACTTCAAAAATGAAATTTGCTCTTTGTACTCTGCCACAAGTTTAGCATCTTCCAAATATTCAGTGCAGTAAATTTGATTACAAAATGTCAGTGAACTGATTCTCACCGAGATAAAACAGTTAAGAGATCACTGTTCTTCAAGCAGTCAGATAGGTTATCCACAGCAGCCTCCAAGGTCAGAAGGGCTTCCATTACATAACCCTGCCAAACATGCAAAGATTACATTTTATGCTGCTTACAGTCACTGTTAACTTTCTGAGGATAAACTTAATTAATGCAAACTTTATTCCAGTAATATCAATAGATCTGAAAGCTACATAATCATTGTTTTTAAATCACAAAATCTAAAAACAAATTTTGAAGACCATTTAGGAAATTCAGATGTCTTAGGAGTTAGCTGATAATAAGGATGTATTTCTCTATGTCTGACAGCTTCAATAAGGTTTGAAATTGAATGGTGGGCAGTAGTGGTGGTGGTGGGAGGAGGTGGGGCAGGAGAAGGGGCAAGAATGGCCCCCTGCTGAGGAATAGCGTGGGCAACGGATAGTGTCTGATAGGAAGAGATGAGGTGTAAGAAGCGTGCCTAAGAAGAGGTTTGCCTCAGAGGCATTTTGTCTGCACTTTGTGGCCAAAAAGAGGAGAAAAGGTAGAGTCCATAGGTTTGTGCAGGTTTCTTGAGATGCAGGAATATGTCAATGGGAAAGAAGGGCTTGGCCCAAGCCACAGAGCTTGTAATGCCCTTAGCTTTCAAACCATTCAGCTCCCCAGTGTCTGGGTCTCCTACAGTAGGGTCTTCCTGTGGCAGCGACTCCATTCCATCTCCAACTCTTCCAGTCTACTGAAGAATGACCATACAGGGTAGGGTAGGACTTTGCACAGATACAATGGAGATGCTTGCTGTGTGTGCAGAGATTGAGTCCTGCATCCTCAATGGATGGTAAAACCCCCAAACAATACAAAATAACCTATGTTCCCTCTGCCAAATAAAACCCAACCCAACCGCCCCCCCCAAAAAAAAAGGATCCAAACAGGTTTTTCAGCCATTTGTTTTATAAACAGAATAGTATTCATTGAATTTCTAGAACCATGCTCCCCCGCCCCCCAGTGAATTTTGGAAATACAAAGGCCAACTTCTAATTTTTTAAATTGTTCAAATGGATGATTTAATGAGTGAGAGAGAAGGCTCAAAGAAAGTTAACTCCTCTCATTTGAATTCAAAGAGCTCGGCCTTCATGAGCTCAGTGGTCTTCCCTTCTATACCTGAATTTCATCTCCGTGTTCTCCGATCACCTCCACCAGTCGAGACAGGAGGTCAGACAAGGCATGTGCAGACAGAGGCTGCTTGAGGGCCCGGAATATCTGGAAGGACCGGCCAGCATAGTGCCTGGAGGAGCTCGCCAGGGCTGTCTGCAGTGCCACTTCACTCAAGTGTTGTTCCAGATGAAAACCTAGTGCCAGAGAACGAGTTAGCCTCTGTGCTGCAAACTCGGACACCAAAGTCACCTAGGACACCAAAGATCCATCCCAAAACGAATGAATGAACCACTTTAAAATAAAGACAAATTTTGTATGAGTCTTGATAAAGCATAGTGTAGTAAAAGGAAAAAAAAATGCTGGGGATACAGCTCAGTGGTAGAGCACTTGTCTAGCAGTCATGAGGTCCTGCTAGACAGGACACACACACACACACACACACACACACACACACGAAGAAGGAAAGCAAAAGGCAATCCTATTCCTGAAATGAGTTTACCATTTCAGTTTATCAGTAGTTCTTGGTTTATAGTAGGTGTCTCATGGTAATGAAAAGAGGTGGGGTTAATCAGAAATGCTTCAAACTAGGAAACACGTTAATTATTAGAGCAGCTGGGAAAGTCAGTGAGCCAAATCTAATACTGCCAGACTGGTGTGAAAAAAGGGTAGACATAGCTTTTATATCACAGTAAGGAACCAAGTTCAAATTTTGCACACAAATCAGTCAGTCCAAGTTATATCTGAAAGGAATTCAGCTTGTGGGCAAATCTGTAAACATTATGATGCTACTATAGTTTCAGTGAGAATCACTGTGTTCAGAATATTGAAAGGTCATTTGTATAGGAATTGTTAGCGAACCCTTAAAGCCAAAAACATTTCATCACAAATTCTTTGTCTTTTTATAACAAGGACTTAGTATACTCTAGGCAAGAGTTTACCACTGCGCTACATCCCAGACTCAAATTCTTTTATTTTTTTGCCCCACTTAAAAAATTCCAATCAGTCATTTAATTAAACTAGCTGATGATTTTTCATAGTTGAGACTGATGTTGGCCAAAAAATGAGATTTATGCCTCACGATTTTTTTCTAGATACAATTAATATTATGGGTAGAGTTTAATTCTAGTAAGATTGAGAGACAGAATACTCAAGATTGGGAAGATTATTTGATGGGGCTTGGTGCAAGTGCAGATGGCATGAATTCAGTTGGGCCACACCGGGAAGCAGCTTTGAAATTCTCCTATGAATATGCTCATGCACAGGTGGTGAGTGTCAGGATCACGTTATAAGGAGTATTGTCATCATGAAGTGATCTCCCTTATGGAAAACTGATGAAAGAGGGGTCTGGGCAAAGAGGATGAAGTACCTGATTTGGAATCTTTGAATACGGACACAACGTGACGTAGGAAATTAGTGAGCTGCTCGGCGCTCTTTGAATTTTGATTTTTGGGTGTGATGTCTTCATGGCACCAAAGTGGCCCGAATGCCCTTGAACAAAACACACAAAATGTCAAAAGTATAACTTTCACTTACCATTTTAAAACCTATACATGGAGTTCTGACTCTGAAGATGCACAATACTTTCGGAAACTTCATGATCTGGGGATACATTTCAAGTTTGGGGGGACATACTTTTCAATGTTTTAAATTAAATTGATTCACAAAATGAAAATCTCCTATTTTGCCATAACAGTACAGGCATATTATTGATGTGCTGAATAAATTAATATAAAATACTAAATAAAACGTAGATTTAGACAGACTCACTGTTCACATCGTAGCATTTGCAGAGATAAGGATTTCATGAAGACCACATCATTAAGTTGCCAAATACTGTGGACTCAAACTGAACATATGGCTTTCATTGTCTACTTGGTTTTCAACAGTAAGACTCAATAGAGCCAGGTGAGAGAACTTCAGTCGGCTGCCTTTCTCAACATGTGGTATTGTTGGATGGTAAGTGGCAACAACACCTGTTCTCTCTATGAATCATCCAGGTCTCTGAAGCACCCTGTCTGTGCACACACTCTGTATGAAGGGCCCCCTTCCTAAGCTTCCTGCACACGATATCCCACATTAAGCTGGGAGCTGTGCAAAAGAACCTGAGTTATTGGGGAAAGAAAATGCTCTTTTTGCGTTAACTGATGCAAGAAAGAAAACTCATGTCAGATACTGTATAACATGTATACAAACTAAATTTCCAGGACTTAACTCACTGCAAAAGGAGAGCGTGCCTCCAGGTCACAGGTGCATGCCTTTATACAAACACTGGACCTCGGGCTGCTAGAAATTCTGAAGTCTTACAAGTGAAATGGTTAATTAGAAGAGCCAGAAGACCTGAAAAAACAGGACCACTTGTAGTTTTCCTTGATTTTGCTTTATGATTAGTTTGAGTCCTTTCCCATCCTGCTTCCTAGTTTCTCATTTCTGACTCCCAATTACAAATGACTCTTTGGACCAGACATGCAGACAGTGATTCCCTCAGCAGCTGCTCCTGGCTCAATTGTAGCTGAAATCACTGGTTTCCAGAGTGAAGATGTTTGCGAAGTTTCAGAACTCCCAGATCCTGGCAGCTCTGATACGTGACTAAAGTCAAGCCTGCAGCTACCAGGTCCTGCCTCCATCTGTGGCACCATGGAAATGTCTACTGGAAACCTCCCTGCCCATCATCCACGGTATCAGTGGGACCAGAGACAAGCTCTACTAGTGTCTGCCTTTTACAGAGATGCTGGCAGATGCAAATTAGAAGAGCAAATGGGACTTTGTTAGAACTCCGGGATCGCTTTTCCATCTGTGTGGTTTAAAGGGCTGACACTTTTTTCAAAAGGTTGACCTGAAAACCGCAGCAGCGTGACTCTCGACCCCCAACTACCTGGTTGTCAGGAATTCAATGAGCTTGTTTGCCTTCTCATCGGTTTCTGCAGCTGTGTCCACATCTTCCACCTCTTGCGTCATCTGCGGGAGGTTCCCACTGCTGCCTCCCAGGCTGATGCTGGAGGAGGTAGAACTGGAGCTCAGCCCTGAATCTGGCACTGGGGAGGACTGGTCCTCTCTCAGGAAGTCAAAGCCACCTGGAGGGTGAAGATGTTCAAGGAGGGAGATGTTAGGCAGGGTGCTTGTCAGCATGCTCAATAAGGCCTGTGGGGGAACACAAACAATTGTGAAGTTATTTAAATGTGGGGGAGAAAGCACTTGATTTGGGCTAGCCTATGATGAAATGAAATTGATAGGTTTTCTTTGTATATGGGATCAGTGGCACTGCTGTGGAGATGAGTGTACATTTGGGAATAGAGGTGATCTGCCATTTTCTACTCTGGTGTGTGTGTGTGTGTGTGTTTCATGCATGCCTAGGCCAGGCCAAGGAAAAGTTAAATTATAACAGGTCAACTAAGAAAGGTACTATCAGCAAATTATTCTTCAACATGCAAAGTGATCCCCTTTTTAAAGGTAACAGTCACTTTGACTAATAAGCAAGTTATATTTAACGTTTTAAGTAAAGTTGCCTAGAAGTTAGAATATCGTGTATGTGTATGTGTTTATTTTGGTGCTGAGGACTGAACCCAGGACCTCACAAAAGTTAAGTGCATGCTCTACAACTGAGCTACTCCCTTCAGCCACCTATGTGTATATTTTTATAAACTATATTGCATGGTATTCAAAGAAAATATAAGTGAATAGTATGTTCTTTCCACTATGTATTTGGTTAACACTTCTACCTCTCTGGCTATATGGATTTGGGGAAAAAAAAGTACACATGGGACCATTCCCTTGTCCTCTTTTAATAATTATAAAAAGTACATCTGAGGGCTGGGGATGTGGCTCAAGTGGTAGCACGCTCGCCTGGCATGCATGCGGCCTGGGTTCGATCCTCAGCACCACATACAAAGATGTTGTATCCGCTGAAAACTAAAAAAAATAAATATTAAAAATTCTCTCTCTCTCTCTTTTTTTTTTAAAGTACATCTGAATAATGTTAATTATTAGAGCATCTCTGCAGCATACAGTGTACCCTTGGAGCTTATATAACACTCTGTATCTTAGTTTTCTATTATAATGAGGTAGGACAATGATTTCTGTTACACAGTTTTTAGTGTGGATTTGACAGCAACTATAGTTGAACCTAGATGCTCAATAATGGTTTATAAAAAGGGGACATTTCCCATACTCGGTAAACCTATTCCTATGTGATAGATCCAATCATTTTGGCTATCAATTGTTTGCCTTGCCTATAGTCACTGTGTACATTTTGTTTTTGGTAAATCCCTAAATCATTTTACACCACATCACTGGTATAATGAATGCAAAATTGATGCACTCAAGAGTTGTACAACTTGAGACACTAATTTTATCAGCCTAAGTCTATATATTTAATGGAATACATCTTTATCCATAGAAGTTTCAACAAGTAGAACTCTTTAGATTCTTTAAATTAAGTGTCTGTCATAAAGAGTTCTGTGTCCCTCAGAGGCTGATAGGATCTTAAACGTGGCTTGGCTCAAAATAAGAGCTTAAACCGAGGCACACTGGAGACTTACATCTCAGAATTAATAATGACTTCATATTTGTTTTCCTGAAAAATATTAACGTCTATTAGAAGTCAAGACAGTGCTGAATACAAGAAGTGAAATAAAACTACATCCTATTCAAGGTAATGAAGAAAGTACCCTGGGAATGAAATGCCATAGCATACTTGGTATCAATGTAATGTATAAAACAATATCTAAATAGTAATGTTCATCATCATTTTAAGATATTTCAAATATTACTGTTCTAAATGAAAACCACTGGCCAACTCTTTTGGGAAAGTTTTCGTGACTAACTTCAACCATTGACCTTCATGGTGAAAATCTAATGGCTGCTTTCCATAGCTTGCCATGGCAGGGTGATTTCTTTGACTCAGCCAATGCTTTCTGTTCCCATTCCTTTGAAGAAATTTTTCGTTTCAAAAGGGCAATAGTTTTTCATAGGCTCCCATTAAATTGTGCCTTTTAGAAAACAGTCATTCAATAAAGTGGAAATTCCTTCAAGAGAACAACCCATGACCGATTTGCAGTCTACCCTATCTGTAGTGTTCTAGATTGATGTTTTTGACCCTGAGTATTTTAAATTCAATGCCACAATAGGGACATAGTTAATAGGAGTAGCAATCATAACAAGGAAAAATAAAGTTTAAAAATATTTAATAATGAGGAAAGCTTCTGAGAGGCAAGTTCACATCAAGGGAAATGGTACACATTTATTGGACTTTTATCATAAGTTGGAGGCAATAGCATGAGAGAAGTGAACTTGGGCTCCACTGACACCCCCCCCCCATCATCTTCCATCTGTGACTCTGTCTCAGGCTGCCTGCTGCTCCTCCTCCTTACCTGTATAGAGATATTCCGGTTGGTAAGCTGGCTGGACAGTTAGAGTCTTAGCTTCACCCATCTCACGGGTCTGCAGGAGCACAGAAGCAATGGCATGAAAATTGCTGTTGCAAGAGAGGGCAATCAAGAGGTGAAGAAGCAATTTTTTGCTGTGTTCAAAGACTTCAGGCCGGTAATGGTCCAAACCTGTAACAAAATGGTGGACTCGCTTAGTATAACCAAATGGTAAGCTCCTTCAGATCCCAGGGATAGTAAGGATTCCAAGAGACCTGGGAGGAACACATCAAAAGAATATTTAGTTTATTATATTTTGGGTTACCAACATAAAGAAGTTGGGCTTAAAAAATTAAAATGCTTTATTCTTAAATAAAATAGTCTCATGATAAGATGGACTTTTCTTGACCTCTCCATAGCACCTGACGTGGTTTACATTCTTTCTTGTTAAGATGCTCTCTTCCTTGGATCTGTCTTATGGAAGGATCCTACTTTATTTGTGTCTCTAACTCGTCTTCTGGATGGCTCCTATTCCCATTCTGCTCTGCTGCTTGAGTACCTGAAGCTCAGTGCTAGGCCTGCTATGGTCTACGCACTGTCTTTTCGTTTGCATTGACCATATCTCATTGCTTTAAATTTACTTCCTTGGCCAAACTCCCACAAAAAAGCCCAAATTATTTACATTGTAGAATTAGGACAATTTCAAACAATCACTGATCAGCTGAAATTTCAGAAAGCAGGTGTCACAAAAGTGCAATGAAAAACAGAAGAGACTAAAACCTTTCAAAAGCGGGGCACGCTGACGTCAACGTGAAAAGAAATCTCTGTGGATTACCTCTATGTGTTTTTGACCCTGTTGGGTAGAATCCCCTCTAGATCCAGTCTTACCTAAGAAGACAGCATGGAGTAATAGTGGTAGATGGAGAGCCCAGTCTTCTCTTACACTGTGATCCACCACCATCTCAGTCATAAAAATCACAGCAATATTGCACCTAACCAACAAAACGATGAGATTAATGCGACTTCTGAGGCGGGTGGAGATACACCATTAGATCACAATTCAATGCAACTGTTATTTATGGCTTGCTGAAAAAATTATATTGAGAACCTTACTCCAGATATATAGAGTTTAACTTTTGATATAGCACACAGCCCCACAACAAGAAGAAACATCAGTTAAGTTAGTTATGAAATGGAAATTCTACAAGTCACAGGTAATAAAAACTGTGAGATGAAGATAAGGCCCTCTCTTCAAGTTGCATACAGTCAGAAAAGCATCACAGAATTACATCCAAAGAAAGCTCAAAGGGGTGGAAGCAGCTTTGCACATTGGTTAATATTTGACTAAGCCACTGGGGCTGGCAGACAAGTCAAGCAAGGCCCCTCTGACTTAAAAAGTGACGTTTCTGATGAAACCTGGAAGAGGTTTCCTCTTCTAATAGGTAGAGACGTTCAGTCAAAGGCACGCCATCATCTCTCTCCACCCGTGCACACCGCTCACCTGTGGAGTGGCCCTCGTGGAGTGATGGTCTCTGGGAGATAGTCAACCAGGGGGGCCCAGCATCCTCCAGTACACGGCATCGGTAAGGGCTGAGGCTGTTTGGTCTCCGTAATGGTCAACAGCCAGCCCGTGTAGGGAGAGATGGGATCATCTTTAGAGCGAGAAAGACAAGCGAACTTCATTTTTCACGAGAAGACGTTTGCTTTTTCTCCTTATTTTTTTAGAAAGAATCTTACAAATACATGCTTGTAAAAATAACTTGCTAATTACTCAATTTGGTATGAATGACATGATCAATGGGTTAGAATTACTTGATTGGGTAATTACTTGATGAGTTATTACTTGATAACTACTGTTATTCATTTTAGAGAAAAGAAAAACACAGATAAAAATAAAAATGGGAAATCATGTGAATTTCCATTACTTTGGATGGAAATTTCCTTTTCTTCCATTTCCCCCACCTCAGTGAAATGCAATCCATGTTTCCAGTTTGGTCAGGACAAGAGCCTTAGAGTCCTCTCTGGCTTCCCTGTCACATCCTACATTCAGCTCACAATCACGGTTATGACCACAGTAATTATAACAATGACAACATTAGGAACTAACACAGAGTCACTGGGCATCAGGCGGTGTTCTATGCACTCAACAAATTAACAGCCCAACAATAGGTACTTCTTATTATCCCCGCTTTATGTGGGGGAAACTGAGGACAGTCATTATCAACAGAGTCAGTGCTCTGACTTCAAAAATGTGTCCAGCCTCCTACCACTGTCCTCCCCCATCACTGAATCTGAGCCCCCTCTTCTCTCACACTGGGTCTCCATGATTTCCCTGCTTCCGTTCCTGTCCCTTTACACTACTCCTCAGAGCAGCCACAGTAATCCCTTTAAAGCAACTCTGGTCACAGCCCTTACCCTGCTGCTCAACACTCTCTAGTGGCTCCCCTGATACACTCAGAATGAAATCCACATGCCACACCACTGCCTTTAAGGCCTTATACGATTGTCCCCTTGTTCCTCTCTGGGCTTATCTCCTACCCCTGTCCTACTGCCTACCCACCGCACCCCACCCCAGGCATCCTGGATTCCCTGCTGTTCTGACATGAGGCCAGATCTACTCTTCCCCATGCCTGGCACGCTCTTCCCCAGATGGCGCTGCTCAATGCTTTATTCAGGTCTAAAGGCCAGCTTATCACAGAGGGTGGCCTTGACCACTTTCTGCCCCTCACTGCTTCTGCTTTCCTCCCTTGCCTGGATCCCCCATTTACCAGCGCTGCCTGCCTCTGCTTCTCTCAAGTAAGCTCCAGGAGACTTGGGACCTTCTTCACCTTGTTCCTTGTCATTTCCCTTATTCCTCCAGTAGTCTCTGGCGTGTAGCCAGGGATCCAAAATTATCCCTGAATGAATGAACTTCATCAACGGTATCTTTCAGGTAAGCACAGGAACAAGTTTCATGTTAGTATTTTTTATTATGCTCTCAATATAGGCCCTTGGCATTTCAGATGAGCTATTCCACGGGGGGCCGTGTGCTCCCTAACCCAGGAATATGACTCAGCCATCTGACTCAACGACTAGGACACACTGGGCAAAGTGTCCTTAGGCAATTTTGTCATTGTGCAAATAGCAGAGAGTACTTACACAATCCTGGATGGTACAGCCTTACTACATGCTGAGGCTGTATGATACAGCCACCATTGTGTATGTGGTCTGTCACTGACCAAAATTATGTGGTGCATGAAATCATGTGGTCCATCATTATGAAGTGCACAAATGTAGTTGATTCAATGCTGCTGGTCGAGAGTGGGATACTGGCTTAACAGCAGAACTGGTGGAGGGAATCCTTCCTACTGTGACAAGTGAGGCTCCCAACAAGGACAGGCACTAGAATCAAGAATACCCTACTTCTTCTTCAGGATGTGAGCTAAGGGGGTTTTGTGGGGAAAGTTAGGAAGTAATTGTTAACTCTTTCCAACAAACCCACGAATGAGCAGCTGGAGCTTTAGAATCCTGTGCCATGAGATTTTGGACATAACAATTTGAATCTACAAAAAAATTTAAGGCAGGAGCAGTAGTAATTTATCTTAGTTGTAACTCTCAGTGTATTATCTAAGAGTGTCTCACTTTTAGTAAATTAACTTTCTGGATGACCGACCAGGATAAGTTAGTTACAAAATGCATTTCTATGTCAGTAGATATTCCTTAATAAAACTTGAAAGGAGAGCAAAAAATGGAGAGTGCTGAAGGATTAAAATTGTGAGATTGCTGTTAGGAAAGGATATTTTAGTTTCAATGATGACTTTAGATATATAACCAGTCAGCAAAAATGTGCAACATTACAATGGCCTAAAAGTGGTTTTCTGCAGTTAGGTCTAAACCATCATCACTCAGCTGATACCCAGTTTAACTTCTTGTACTCTTATTATAAAACCAGATTCAGTAGCAGATGAACTTGAAAATAATCCAGCTATTTAGAAATTTTTTAGAAGGAATCTTACGTAATACCTTTACAGTTCTAGGTTTACCTCAGTTTGCTTGTTCATTTTATCCAAGGGGGTATAGATTTTATTTTAATATAAAGCGCCTTTTGGACAAATCTACATTATGAAACACTGGGCCACCCTGTCTCTCCTGACCCCTTCTTGAGCTTTCCTACCTCTGCTGATCCCTGGAGAATTCAGGGAGGAAGTAGCCAACATTTAGTGCACCAGACCCCCAGCCATCAGTTTGGGGATTAAGTCTATCTACTAACCTTTCCCTATCTGTGGCATGTTCCATGTCCACAGTTACGTAGCCAAAGCCAAAAGTACATCAATGAGGTCCCAGTGACTAAAGTCCTGAGATTATCTGTGTCCTAATAGACCCGCTGCTTTCTATGAGACAACCAGACTAGAGCACTATTGCTTGAGCACTCTGGGAAAGGATCTTAATATATACTTTATGGGCTTCCTGTGATGAACATCTGTCTATTTAGCTTGATTTCATTTTCTCTTATGATAAATAAGAGACCATATCAGCTCTCAGTGTCCAAACTTCATGCCATGAAACTGGTCCACAACATTAATTATGTGAATGATAGTTTGACCCACAATTGAATTCAAATTCTATACCAAAATTATTTTACCATCGAAATGTTATTCATACTGATAAAATTAATTTGTGAATATTTCTAGGTAAAATAGAGGCCATATGATAACATTAGATTTCTTTTTTTATGCCTTATCTGGATTTTTAATCTTCATAAATACTTCCATTATTTATTTTTCTTTTTGCCCCTAAAGTCAGTGATCTGGGTTTATATGTATAAAATGACATATTATCCCATTTTATTACAATGACCTTTCTGGAATCCTCTATTTTGATGAACATAAGGAATTTGAGGTTTTAAAGCTATAATTTCAAAATGATTGTTATCTATTATAATATTTCTACCAAAGTCTACGTCTTTTACCCAAAACTCAGAAATACCCTTTAAAGGCGTTAACTGGCTGAAGTATAGCTGTTTCCTCATGTCCATTCACTATCACACAGTGGTAGGTTTAGTTATATTGTGTCTGTCAAATTCTGGAGGAATTAGCATTAGGCTCCTTAAACTCTTCATAGTTCGATTTTTCTGTCCTCAAATTTTGAGTTGCTGAATATTGTCACAGTAAACCAGACCTCTTCTGAAGCAACATTTTGATTTCTCTAGAACTACCCTCCCCTTCCCTCCTGTGTAAAAATCTGGTTCTGTCTGGAATTAATGTCGGTGATCTATGGTCCCAGATCCACCTGTTCAGTGGTACAGTCCCCTGATGGGATATAGAAGGGAAGGAAAATATAAACAGCCTTATTTCACCTCTTATTGATAGTTCTAGTAAAAAGTTTTTATAGGGGCACAGCTGAAACGTAACCTAAATTAGAGCAATCAATGCATTAGGAAGTCAAGTAAGGGCTGTTGAAATGTGGTATCTGATCTGACTGTACATTTCCTATAGAAACAAAGCAATTCAAGAAACAACTATAAAGTCCTTAAACACTGCTGAGATGAATCCAACTCATGAAATATCACCATACTTATGATTTCTACTCAGATAGAAAAACAAATCCCACAGAGTTCACTGATTTCTCTATCATACCTGAGCGACACTGGGAATGATTTTTTGGTTCTGAAATTTCAGTAACTCATGACCAACTGATACTCTACATCTGTTCTGTATCAACACAAGCTGTCTAGGCCTTACACATAAAGTCAATGAATGCAATGACGTTTTTGGTTTATCCAGTTGCCCAAGGTACAAAGAAAGTCTCCCAACTTAGAAGGTTTTTTACTTGGTGACTGAGGCCACACAAGTGGGAGATTCGATGTGAAATCAGATCCCATCCTGGGGAAGCGCACACTCAGAACGTAAAGGTTAAGTCTAGTCCCAAGATAGGTTGAAAAGCTGTATTGCAAAAATCATCTTCTAAAGGGACAATTTTTTTTTTACTAGCCTTTCCCAGACTGTGAGTCATAAAAAAAAAAATGCTAAGAATATAAAAATTGTATAATGATTTGAAATTTTACAATTTTGATTTCTCCACTGTTTCACTTGGGGTTTGTTTGTTGTACATTTAAGATGCTGACTACACTTCTCTGTAGAGTTAGATTAAATGAAGGCTTAATATTTTGGGTGCTTCTTAGTAATTAGGTCAAGAATAATCAAAATGCTCATCATCCTTCCTTCAACCACTTGCATTCCGTCTGGAAGCCCACAGCCTGTGGGTACTTACTTTTATCCTCATCATACGATCCTCCGGAGCTATTGCTGTATCTGGACTCTAGGCGGGTGTGGGCTCTGATGACATTACTAAACCTTCAAAGAGAAGGACAATTGTTAAGAAACAGCAACAGGGGTGTACACGTGCTGTTGCTCATGGCAGATACTATTATTTAGTGGTTGGTTCTTTAGCAGCTGGTTCCGATGATGATGCTTTTCTTAATGGAATATTATGAAGATCGTACCTAAAACATTTCTTTTCCCCTCGCGTGAGACCAATGGTCACTTTTGCTCACAAACAAAAGCCCAAACGTTGAAAAGATAACGATTTCATGGTTAATGTTTTAGTTGAACTAGAAAATCATAACACTTGATTTGGAAGAAAATGACAAAAATGGGCCCGATGTTGAATGTGACTCCCTCTTCACAGAACATGGTACAAGGTGGGTGGCCAACAATTTTTGCTAAATGAACAAATGAAAGTGGGAAGAACTGGAAGTACACAAAATAGTTCCAGAACAAATCTTGTTCTAAATATCAACTTGAAGCTTCCCTTAACATAGTCTGCGAAGTTTTAGAAAAAGGTACTAGGATCTGTAATATAATCATAGAATCAGAAGGACTCTTCTCTCTGGTTTCTTTTGTGGCTTGTTGAAATAATCAAAAGAAAAAAAAATAGTTGAAGTCTAGAACTTCACACACATCCCTTATTTAATTTGGGTTACTCACTTTTTAAAAAATATTTATTTTTTAGTTGTAGTTGGACACAATATCTTTATTTATTTATTTATTTATTTATTTGTTATGTGGTGCTGAGGATCAAACCCAGAGCCTCTCACGTGCTAGGCGAGTGCTCTACTCACTTTTGAGATATATATTATTGACTTACAAATGAGGAAACTGATGCCAAGTGAGGTTAAATGAGTCATCTAGGGTCAATCACAGGGAGGTGGCAGTGCAGGGACATTTGAGGGCCACGCTGCCTCCAAGAAGGCAGGAATTTTATTATTTTTTTTTTTAAATATTGAGCTTCTGTTTGAGGTGATGGATATGCACATCTCCCTGGCCTGATTATTACATTGTATACATGAATTAGAACATTACACTGCACTCCAGAAATATATATAATTACCGTGTGTAATTTAATCATAAAAATATGTTGAAAAAACAAACCAGCTCTCTCTCACTGGCTCTGTTCTTTGGGAACCTTGTTTCCATAATTGCTAAAATGGAATAATAATGGTGTTTTATCTTTTATTTTATTGGGGTTGTGTGAGGAATAATAAAAAAAAAAAGACATGAGACTGTGAGACACTCTCTAGCTATAACATGTTATTATGCTCTCCCTTGGATTTCTAGAATTTCCTTGTCTTGGCAAAGGACCAACAAAATCATTCAAATCAATAGCATATTTATCATCCCAAGATGATAGGGCCAGGGTGTGGCTCAGGGGAAATAAGGGCAAAATAAGAGCAAAATGGTACGTATGCACTTGTGTGCATGTGTTCTTTTTTTTTTTTTTTTTTTTTTTGAGTGCTGGGGATCAAACCCAAGGCATCACATGTGCTAGGCAAATGCTCAACCACAAAGCTCCACCCCCCCCCAGTCTGAAATGGTATGTCTGTATTTATTTAACATAAAATAATACATAGCAAGTTCTACCCACTTAACATATATAGCCAAAGGGCCACGTTTAAAAAAAGCAGGAGATACTTGCCAAAATAGGTGAGTCTGTCTGTCTATATTACTGACCTGTGTTCTAACCTGGGTGACAACAGATCAGCACTTATTTCCCTCTGGAACACTGGAAGAGGCAGGAGGTAGCTGTCCTTATGGGGTGTGAAGAACCAGGAAGGGTTCAGGAAAATGCACCAAATGTGCCACTAACTATGTACCTTCTCCCAGGTGTAAAACCTTGGAATATTCCACCAATAGTTTGGATTTGCTAGAGTGAAGAATTGTAATGGACTGCAATTACTTTGGTTTTCTTCATTTCTTAGGATTTGCCTTCCCGATGCTGTCATATACTCCTAGATGACTTCAAACGTTCTTCACAGTCGTATCGCTTGTGCTATATTACTTTGTGAATCCATAAAAGAATATCTGGGACATCTGCTTTGTTTCATATGAATTAGACCATGAAACAGTCTAAATCAGATGGGTACTTATGAAATTAGAAGAGTGACAGATGTATCACCTTCTGAAGCAGTTCCTTGATCAAAATTTATGCTGATAAATGTGGTGTTATAAAAAGTGGATGCTGGGCCCAGACACCATTCAGCAAGGGACAAAATTAGGTTGGAAAAATCATGCCACATCTGGAGGTTTCTGCTGGGTGGGGAGCTCCGTGGCACTCGGCGACTGATGAACTATAGCCTGCAGTGTGCAGGATTTAGAACTGCTCTGAGGGCCAGGCGGGGAAGAAGTAAAGAGTGGATGGCAATGCTTCTCTTTTCCTTATTGAGAAAGCTCTAAAGGGGCCTTAAGTAGGGTGAAGGGGTGGAGCAAGCCCCTTCCAGACTGTTCTCTTGACTGAAGCCACAGAGCAGCAAAGGTCTCCTTGGCAAAAGAAAAGGAAAACCTGACTCCCCAGAGAGGAATCTACTTCTCTTTGCCTTTCTGGGTTGGGGAAACGAATTTTGGATTTGGGACATAGAGGAATTTGAAGGACCAGGCTGACTGACTAATCCTTTCACATCAAAGGTTCATATCTTAAAATGTATACCCTGAACACAGCCTGATAAGAGAAAAACTAAAAGGATAAAATGTTTCCCTGAGTTTTCTCTTGCTGACTTGGCTCAAATGAACACCTAGGCAGCTGTCTTGATATCAGTGGATGCTAAGGCTTGTTAGCATTGTCACTTGGGGCTGGGGTGTAGTTCAGGGACAGAGTGTGCGTTTAGCGTGAATGAGACCCTGGGTTTGATTCCCAGCAGGAGAACAAACCAAAAAACTCAACCAAATCACTGTCAATTTGCATTACAGATTCTCCAGCCCTATATCAACAAAGCTCAGAAAAAAATTATCTAATTAAAGTTTATTTCTTTAGTTCCCTATAAAAAAATCCTCATAAAACTATAAATTTATAAAATAGGCCCTTATGAAGGGTGGTTACATTAAAAATATTTATGAAGATTGCTTTGGTATATTTAAACAATTGATATAAAATTCAATTTTAGTAAGACATGTTAATTTTGATGTCCAAAAAAGTAAAATACATGATAACTCTTTCTTGGGATAATTTCTGTTAGTAATTTTTGGTGAATGGTTTGGTGAATAGTTTCTTTTATGAACAAAATACTGAAAGTTATAAAATTTTATATATATGTATATATATTTTATTTATTTATTCATTTATATATTTTTTACTTTGGCTGTTGGGGGGCCTTAGGGTAGGTTAATGTTAACTTGTAGCTTTTCTCAGAATTTAAAAAAACATTTATTTTTAGTGCATATAATTATATGTATATATATTAGTGGAGCTTTAGTCAGGACTTTTTTTTTTTTTTTGTACTAGGGATAGAACTTAGGGGTGCTTTACCTCTTTGTGTTTTTTTTTGTTTGTTTTTTGAGGTAGGTTCTTGCTAAGTTGATTGGGGCCTAGCTAAATTGCTGAGACGGTCCTTGAACTTGGGATCCTCCTGCCTCAGCCTCTTAAATTGCTGGGATTATAGGCTTGTACCACTACACCAGGCTAGATAACCTTTCTTAAAAATACTCTCTGATCTTGATATTATACAGATAAATTACTTCTTTATTTTAAGGGCCACCACAAACAACAACAACAACAACAAAAACAACTCACATGCAGATCACCGGACCTACAGAGGTCTTTCTTTGAAATGAGATGTTAATATATTAAAGTATGTCAACTTTCTACACAAAATAAAATTAAGATGGGAAACTCAGTCTAGATGATAAATAATTAAGAATTTACATACCAGTAGAGAGTAGAGATATCTTTAGAGAAATATTGTGCTTTCTACCATGAGGCAAAGAAGGTACTAATAAACATGGATTAAAAATGCTCATTAGTAACTCTATACTGTCACCGATGAATGGAATATCAAAACTTTCGTGCATTTTGGAGAAAGACAGGTTTCTACTGGAGAACTATGAAGGATAAGATCTGTACTTCATGACCCACAGGGTTTGGAATTAGCCTGAAGCAAGGTCCATACAGATGAGCGTCCACACAAAGGCCACTCTCCTCCCAGTTGAGTAAGGGACTTGGTAAATGCCTGACTGAGAGGGAGAGAGGATGCCCATCACAGAGGAGCTTCCTCTTCACCTCTGCTCTAGGGCACAGGGTGAAATCCTGAAGACAGTCAGGAAGTATCCTGGCGCATTTGGGGCGGAGTGAATTATTTTCTTTATTTGATCCCTTACATTTTCTTCAATGTGAATTTGAGTTCCATCCTCACTATTAATTTTTCAATGAAAGGGTGGCCTCATCACCTTTTATAAGCTCAGCTGAAGGAGTTTTCAACACCATGAGTGTCCTCCTAGTTCTTGTTTTTTTAATAGGAGTCTCTATCCTGTTTTCCCTCCCTGCTGTTTACAGTCTGCAGGGAGGAGCAATTCAGATTTTATTTACCCAGAGCAGTTCACAGGCAATCTGAGGACAAGTGTGTAGGTAAGAAAATACCACCTGCGTGGTCATGAAGGGAATGGAGACTCTGCCTAGCAGGAAAAGACAGTGTTCTTGGTCAATTGAGATGTTATCACAGTAGAGTAAGGGTAAAAGAATGATTACTACTATGGTTTGAATACGTTTATCCCCCTAAACTCATAAGAAATTAATTCCCAGTCTTATGTAAATGGTATTAAGAGGATGAAACTTAATCCCATATGATGTAGTGTCCTTGGAAAATAGTTAGGTTAGGCAAGTTAATAACAGTGGAGCTCTCATGGTTGAATCCTTGTAGCTGAATAAGAAGAAACAGAGACCACACAGACATACATGCTCCCACCACAATGTGATGTAGCCAACAGGGCCATTGCTGGAATCTGTGTCATATGGTTTGGGGTTAAAGCCTCCAAACCTGAGCTAAATAAACCTCTTTTCCTCATAAGTTAGTCAGCCTCCGATATTTCCTAATAGTCACAAAAAGCTGATAAATACAATGATATTTTATAAAACCCACCTCAAGACAACTACTCTAAGAAATTATTTAGTAATCAGATTTGAAAATTTCACACGACAAATCTCCTGTAATTCTAGATGGTTTTACCCATTAGCAGAATGACTGGTGTTTTTTTAGGAAGCCCTGAAGTAAGTGGGAATCAGCTACCAAAACGGTCTCCTCTTTATCTTTCTGTTCTCTGACTTTGTATAGGAAAAAAAAATTGTTAACTTCAGGGATCTACAGGACAGAATTGGAAAGTTAGTCTGTGTTCTAAGAATAAAGGAGGACTTTGGTGTGCCTGTGAGATTTAGGAAACCTCACAAACTGTTACTGATGCCTTTGTACCGGCTACTGCTGAAAGTTATGTTGGGTGTTAGGCCAGATTTGTGCACCAACCTTTCATCAGATTCTTTCAATATCTTGCTCTCCTCGGCATCTGGGAAACTGTCCTGGCCAGCGACCACTGTATTGCTGCTGGAGGTGGTTCCTGTAGATGGGATTAGAAGAAAGATGCTTAGAAAAAGACACATGCAGAGGAGTCAAGCTCAAGTCTCGGTTAATTTTAGGAACGGATTTCCTGTAAAAATCCCTGTTTGCAAGATTCCTCACATCTTTTGTACAATCTCAGACATTCTAAACAACCTTTTAAGCGGGCACCACTGAAACAGGAGAATCCTAGACATCTGTTATGGTCAAACTAGATTCCTTAACTCCCTTGTAAAGTGAGGCTGCAACATTCTTGGAACCTATTCTCCTGGCCACTTGGAAATGAGCTTATTTATAGCAGCTGGCCCTGCTGTAAGTTGTTTTAGTGTTTCTGGAGTTATTTGACCAATGCTAGGAAAGCAAGTTCCAGTAGCCAGAGCTTCTGATTCCTAAGCTGACACTTCTCGGCAAGAACTGCTCTGGCAGCAAAGAGGGCAAAGAGAGGGAATGCGCCATCGGGGAGGAGGAGGGCACGTGTTTGTGTTTCATGAAATGATGCTGATGCCTATTTACTGAAAGCGATAACACAGGTTGAGTATCTTTATCGAAAATGCTTGGAACCAGAATTATTTCCAAATTTGGATTTTTAAAAGATCTTAGAATATTTGCATACACGCAGTGAGATATGGTGGGGATAGAGCTCCAGTCTAAACATGAAATTCATTCCTGTTTCATACATCTTATGCACACAGCCTAATTTCATACATTTTAAATAATTTTATGTCAGAAACAAAGTTCATGTACATTCAACCATTGGACCTGTGGCATCAGGTCATTGCTCAAAACGTTTCAGATTGAATAGTGTTTTGGATTTTGGGATTAGGTTTGCTCAACCTGTACTGTTGTAGGCGTTTTAGTCAGTCCTGGGACAAGGTTAACAACAGGAATCCCATAGATACAAATAGGAAGGTCCAGAAGAGACTCCTCAGTGATTTCAGGGCTCTTCTTAAAATCAGCGTAAAGTAAAAAGCTCCATGGTCATTCTTACAAAACAGTTTCATTTATCCAATAATGACCCGGAGTCTCAGCTATTTTCAAGTCTCTTAAGTGAATGTACATACAAGAATAAGAAAAAGCCACAGACACATATTCACATACTTTTAAGTCTCCGCCAAAGAAAATTCCAGAGACCCAGGACAAGAAGTCGGCCCAGGTCCCTGGTCCTTACCGGAAGCGGCTGCGGAGGCCTTGCTGCTGGCAGTGAAGCGGTAGAAGGGCGGGTTGTCACAGTGCTGGACAATGGGGTTCACGGGCTCAGTCTGCTGTAGCTCAAAAAGAAGTTCTTCCATGGTTTGAATGGTGTTATTGCGGCATAGGTATATGGCCACCTTTTTAATCTGAGAGGAAGAAAGAAACAAGAGATGCTTTCCAGAACCTTGTCCACAAGAATTGCAGGCTGGTAACCCACGCCACCATCCGGGTGCCATCAGCCCCAGGGTAATCTTGGTGCTCTCCTAGGCTAATCCAGGTGGGTTAGAATTCACTTTGCCACGTGGGCTATTAGGACTGTGTGTGTTGAAGGCCTTACCTTTTCTAATGGTTTAATTTTTTAAAGTTACCCTCTGGGCACATTGATTCAATCTAAGCTTCCAACTTGCCATCAAAGGTCCTATCTTCAGAAAGAATTTTATTTATACATACTGTGGGGGGGGGTGGAGGGAAAACTGCTAGTTATTTTTGTTTAAAAAGGAATCCGGTCCCTTTCTATTTTCCTCTCCCCTAGAAACAAATGACTTTTAGCTGGCCTTGAATTTGCAATCCTCCTGCATCAGGCTCCAGAATGGCTAGGATTATAGGTGAGTGCCACCATGCCCAGTGTAGTTTAAAATCTTAAAAATATCTCTGGATTTGATGCTCTGCATTGCTGTAGACCTCATGGTCCAGCCTGAAGCGAGTGTGCTGTTACGAGGCTTATATGAGTCAAACTGCAGGAAGAAATCAACTCTCTTGCAAAAGCAACCGGTATGGGAATGCCGAGTGAGCTTGCATTTTAAGATGCTGTCCTTCTGTTGATCCCATCTCCTTCTGATATAAATAGCAAGTATCAGACAGCTTTACTTGTTTCTCTCTCCTACCACCTGAATTTGAAGAGAAAAACCAGGATTCTCTGTTTTTTAATTCTGTTTTGAGAGCACCCAGTGTCTCCCACATGCTGGCACTAACGTCTGTAGAAGGCAGCTTTTGGTAACTGTTGGAAAAATATTTGCTCCTTAATTCACAGGTCTGTGTCCCAAGGCTTAGACTGAGGGGATGACAGTTGTCACTGGCACGTGTGGCCTGTGTCTTGGGGGCTAAAGGAACTTTCATGCAGTATCTGGAAGAGCTCTCAGGAGCTGAGTGTGACGGGCAAAACTGCACTTTTCTATTTTAGTTGGAGCCGGGAGCACATTTTGGCTCGCAAACTGTACACGGAAGCCCCAGCAGGAATGATGCTCCCGAGAGCCCGAGACACACTTACATAGGGTAGGAGAACCGTGTCACTGCTAACCCCGCACAGGCTGATCAGGAACTGCAGTGTGATCCTCAGGTTGTTGCTCCATTTCTCGTTGTTGGCGAGCGCATTCCAGGCATTTTCCATTTCTGGCCCAGGAACTTCATCTCCATACTGTAACAAACAGAATAAGAAACAGCCCAGTGACGTACGTGGGAAGAACATTGGAGGCAAAGTGGTTTTGAAGGTCATGGCCATCTCAAAAGCAGTAAGAAAGGGAAACGGCTGTTTATCAGAAAGATGTCATTTGTTTTCCAGGGGAGAGAAATTGGTAATGCAGAAATCATTCACCTCCAATACCTATGGGCATCAACTTTAAAAAATGTTAGGCTTCTTATTATTTTTTCAATTGCAGTAAAATATAAAGTTTGCCATTATAACCTTGGTTTTTGTGTGTGTGATGCTGGGGACTGAACCCAGGGCTTCCCATATGTTAGGCAAACTCTCTACCACAGAGTTAACTTCCCCAGCCCTCAATGTACCATTTTTAGGTGTGGAGTTTAGTGACATCATTTATGCTCTTATGTGGCCAGCACCACTGTCCATTCCTTCTGTGTGATTTTTAAAGGATAAATAGGTTTGCACAAGGGTTTGCTTTTTCTGAAGATGGAGCCATGTGACTTGAGTTTACCTTGGCCGTCATGTACATGAGGTTATTGAGGACCAGTGATGTGGCTTCTGGAGAGCCCCAGCCATTCCCTTTCAGCCCATGAGGGGCTGTCACTTCTCCTTCTCGGTCCTTGACTTCATCCTCGGGGCTGCTGGGGCTTGACCCAGGGAGGAGGAGCCTGCTGTCCACCAGCTCGATGTTGTGCAGCCAGGGCAGCAGGTAGGTGAGCATGATCTGACGCCCGTTTGGGTGTGTCGTGGGGAACCGCTGGCTTACCTCTAAAGAGAATTGCGGTGGAGAGCCGTTATGTTATTATTCCACCAAACAAATTAAAATATGAACACCATCTTAATGATTTAAACAATGCTTTCCGTTTACAGAAAACATGTGCACATACAGTAGCTCCCCAAGGTGACAAAAATGAAAAAAAAAACAACAACAACAACAAAGCTTGTTCTCACACCTGTCATTTCATGTCTGTTGCTCTGTGTGGGAAAGTGGCACTGCACCATGGGGACAGGACAGGCTTGGTAAAAACGGAGTGAGATGGGAGGCCTCAGGAGTTCAAGCACACTGCTAGTGGAAGAGGGCTTATCTGTCCCTTGGACAAACAAGGGACCTGGAGGCAGAAGGATGTGTATTTGGGTTCTAGTTCCATTGCGTTAATAGCCGCCCGTGACTCTCGGCTAGTAATCCAACCTCTCCGCTCTCCAGTTTACTCATGTGTACAACGGGGCCCCCCTTGCACACACGGGACTGTGGTGAAGACTAGAGGATACACTCACCACGTATATAGCCGGCTCAGCACAGTGCCTGACACCAGCAGGCCCCTGACCAGTGGTGATTAGGGTTATTCTGACAGTGATCATTCTCTTTCCAATAACCCAGTGATTTACAAAGTGTCTTCCATGAAACATCAATTGTTAAAAAGTGAGATGTGGACCCCCAAGAGGAAGAAACCCGGCTTGGGGAGTCTACCTGAAAAATGCCCAGAGCATGGAAGATGCCTGACAAGGGCTGCACTTCACCTTGGGAACAAGGTGCACCAAGGTCAAAAGCTCCTCGTCCAGCTGGGCCACTTTCCCATCATTCTCTCTGTTGACATGTCTGCACCGTTTCACTGCTGGCAGCATTTAATTTTATAATCTGAATAAGCAGTCCACAGAGAAAGAAGCACAGCTTTATGTTTATGCACGAGGCTCTGCTTGTCTCCGAGAAATAGCTTTATCCAAAGGCGGAAGCTGGCAAGCCTGGTCTTGTGCAAGTGCTGTGATCCAGTGTGACACAACCTCGCCGGCAGCGCTCATGGCTGCTGAACGGAACGACACAGATGCCAGGAATGACACCAAGATAACACACTAGATCCCTCAAATGGCAACTCTAATTGACTTGGCCCTTTTCCTCCAACTAAAATTATTATTTTCCATTTTGAAGAAGAATAATGTGCCACAATAATCAGACAGCACAAAGCTGCTGTTTTATATGGATTAAAATCTCAAAATGACTGGGTGTGGTGGCGCATGCCTGTAATCCCGGCGGTTCTGGAGGCTGAGGCGGGAGGATGGTGAGTTCAAAGCCAGCCTCAGCAACAACGAGGTGCTAAGCAACTCTGTGAGAGCCTGTCTCTAAATAAAATACAAAAATAGGGCTGGGGATGTGGCTCAGTGGTCAAGTGTTCCTGAGTTTCACGCCCAGTACCTACCCCCTCCCCCCCCAAAAAAAATCCAAAACATCCTTAGTTTCAAGCTTAGGTATCACATCTGATGCTATGGACTATGATGATACAGACTTAGAGTCTTGTCCAACGAGTGAGTTCCTTTATTCCCATGTACTGGGCATTTTCTAGTATGAGCCTCCATGCTAGGCATGATGGAGACTGCCAAGACTAGAATCATGGTTCCTGCTCCCCAGAAGGAGACTCTGATACTATGCCAGCAAGTAACTCTATGGCAAGCGAGAAAGTGACAAATGACTTCAGAAAGGCACTAAACTTTGAGGATTTAGTGGAGGAAAATGACAGCTGGTTGCAAAGATTCAGGACAGTTTTATGGCAAAACTACTTAAGCTCCACTAGATAAGACCGATATTTTGGAGAGGGGAAAAAATCCGATCAGAGAAAAAGTATCATTGAAAAATACCTATTTTATTTTTGTATATGGACTTATTTATTTATGATTTATTTATTTATTTATTGAAGGCCTCCAAGTTGCTGAGGCTGGCCTCAGGAGGCTGGCTTGTGATCCTCCTGCTTCAGCTTCCTGAGTAGCTGGGATGACAGACATGTACCAAGGTGCTTAGCAATTAAAAAATATCTATCTTTACAACCTATCTTTTTTTTTTTAAATTTGTTTTTCAGTTGTAGTTGGACACAATACCTTTATTTATTTATTTTTATGTGGTGCTGAGGATCGAACCCAGGGCCTCGCACGTGCTAGGTGAGAGCTCTTCCACTGAGCCACAACCCCAGCCCTAAACCGATCTTCTTTACAGGGTATAAAAATCTACAGACTTTTAGCCGCAAGCATGGCCTTCTAACATAATACATAATCTGCTTATTTATCATCTTTATTGCATTTTGTCTGCGGGACACAGTGACCAAGAGAGTAGGGAAGTCTGCGGTATTCGCAGTCTAGATCAGCACCCGGGTGGTAGACAAGTTTTTGAAAAAAAAAAAAAAAAAAGCCACAGCCATGGGAACAAGTTCTTAGTTATTCCTCCCAAAACAATCTAAATAAAATGTGTAGCGATGTCAGTGGGATGGTATGCGTGTTTCCCGCTCCTCTGGGAGGGGCCTGGGAGGGGTCTAGCTGCTTATGAATAATTAGGTCACCTGAAATTACAAGCAGGACCGCACCACAGGGTTTATAATAGTACTGGGAGTAAAGACAAGAGGAATCTGTTGTGCCCTCTTAGTTTTTTTCATGTTATTTTCGAAAATTCTTCATAAATCAAATAGCCAAATTCATGAAGAAAATGTAGGCATGCTGGTCCCTCATTATCTGTCACCGTCTCCTACTTTACCAGCTTCTTCTCCTCATCCTTAACACCCGCCCCCTTGTCACTGCATCCCCCCTGGCTCCAGTCTCTGTTTTCCCTTTTCTCAGCCACACACCACTGCAGTCTGGTTCCTGCTGCCACCTCCCGTGGGAACTATCCACAGTTACCAATGAATCATGAAGCCCTGAGGGCTTATCCTTTTTATTTTTTTGGTACTGGGAAGTGAACCCGGGAACACTTTATCACTGAGCTCTAGCCCTAGTTATTTTTTTAAAAATTTATTTTTCTTTTTGAGACAGGGGCTTGCTTAAGTTTTGGAGGCTGGCCTTGAACTTGCCATCCTCCTGCTTCAACCTTCCTAGTCCCTGAGATTTCAGGTCCGTGCCAGCCTGCCAGACGGAAGATGGCTTTTAGACCTCATCTTCTGTGATCTCTATGCTGTTGGAGGCTGTGGACGGTTCACTTCTTCTTCCTAAATCCTCATTTCTTAGGTTTCCATGAAACTCACCCCCTAGGGATTTTCTGTCCTCTCTGAACTCACCTCCGTTCCTCTCTGCCAAAGCCAGGTCCTTCCTTTCACTCCGTGCTCTCTCCGTTCCTGATCTCAGCTGTGCTCTTGGCTCCAGCCCTTCTGCCTTCCAAGAGTGACTGGTGCTGCCTTCTGACTCCAGCCTGCGCACACCTGGGGACGCCTGGCAGCGGCCTACACCCAGCGTCCCAGGCTGCACTCAGGATCTCTGCCTTGTCCTAAACCTTGGGACCCTCCCGTACTGGCTCCCTGGGAGGGTGGCGGCCACAGGCCTCATGCCAGGCTCTCCCTGCGCTCTCACGGGCCTGTCTTAGCTCAGATCTTACATGTTTCATTTCCTCCTAGGGCTACTGTCATCGTTTCTGATTGGACGCTTTCTAATCCACCCTCCACACCGCAGCTTGTCTTTCTGAAACGCATGCGGATCTTGTCAAGCCCTCTTCTTGTTTGAAACTCATCAGCGGCTTTCAGAACCTGAGCAGCTGGCTTGGATGCCCTCTCTGTTCAAAGGGCTCTGGGGGGGGGGTCCAGAGAATGTGGGCCTTCAAACTCCTCAGCGGATAATATAAAGCCTTTGAGGACTTGGCTCCTGCCTCCTCCTCTGCCTAAGGCTGTGTCTAGCTTTTTCCCTTTTCTGCACATTGTTAGCCACACTGACCTCTACATGACCTCCCAAATGCATCACGCTGTCTTACTGCTCTAAGCCAAACCATACACTGTTCGTCTCTGTGGTGCCCATCGACTACCGTCTGCTTTGCACAGTTCTTTCAAACTGAAGCTCAGACATCTGCGCCTCTGGGAAGTCTTTCCTGATGCCTCCCACAGCTTCCGCCTCCACCTCAGACACTGAGCATACTCTTGAATAAACCTGCATTTGCCACACCGTGTCACAATCACGATGGCACGTCTATCTTTATTACTAGACTGCACCTTCCATGGGAGAGACTGCTTTATGTTCCTCTGTACTCCCAGGCCCCAGACAAGAGTGCACACAGCACACAGGCCAGGCATTGCTCCACTCCTGGCTGAAGTGGATCAAAATAAACTGTAGTTTTCTGACAAGAGAGTTTATTTACTAGATGAATTTAGTAGGCTTAGTAAGTTTTTGTTGAGTCTTCCACTGTTTCAGGTACTAGACAAGGTGTGACTAACTCTACCTCAAGGAAATGATGGTGAGGTGTGCACTGAAGAGGCAGAATATAAGTTAGGTTTTAAGGAATTCTGGAAGTTAGGGAGAGAGGGAGGATGCCCATTCTATTCTTAGAGAAGGAAAAAGCATACGTAGAAGTAAGGACTTCAGAGAGGGCCTGGCGTGTTGGTCAAAGGTGAAGTGAGAGTAGATGCGTTCTTGGATGGAAAGGTGAAAAGTGGTTTAGCAAGTGGTTTTCTAAAATAGCGATTTATAGCCCTGACTTTGGAGGAAGACAGAACTAGATTAAATTATGTGTTGGCAATTTCCTACCTATATCATCCTGAGCAAATTATTTTAATCTCTTTTTAAAAATATTTATTTTGTAGTTGTAGTTGGACACATACCTTTATTTTATTTATTTATATG